CGGGCCCAGATCAGCGCCCCGGATTCTGAAGCGAGTTTGCATCCAGCGCCCCCAAGCTGGCGATGGCCCACGTGGCTTGTGCAGCCTCGGGCCTGAAGGAGGTGCTGGGGACCACGGGGCAGAATGCCGGAAGGGCCCCCCCCCGGCCCAGCCCCCCAGGAAAGGAGCAGCAGGGGGGTCAGCGCTGCGTCTCCCTGGGCGTCCGCCCTCCCTTCCCCATGAAGCCCCGGGGGCTGTGCCCGCGGTGGGAGGAGGCTGGCAGGCGGGCTCCATCTGGGAGGTGGGAAGACAGCGAATCTGCTGCTCTCCGAGCTCCCGTTCCTGGCATTCGCCCCAGATGGAAAGATCTAGAACACAACTGAAACCGGAGTGGCTCAGTGGATAGAGCGTCGGCCTGCAGACTGAAGGGTCCCAGGTTCGATTCCGGTCAAGGGCATGTGCCTTGGTTGCAGGCACATCCCCAGTGGGGGGCGTGCAGGAGGCAGCTGATGGATGTTTCTCTCTCATCGATGTTTCTAGCTCTATCCTTCTCCTTTCCTCTCTGTAAAAAAATCAATAAAATATTTTAAAAAGCCGAAACAGGTTTGGCTCAGTGGATAGAGCGTCGGCCTGCAGACTGAAGGGTCCCGGGTTCAATTCCGGTCAAGGGCATGGACCTTGGTTGCGGGCACATCCCCAGTAGGAGCTGTGCAGGAGGCAGCTGATGGATGTTTCTCTCTGTCCCTCTCTCTTCTCTTTAAAAAAAAAAATCAGCGGTCGAGACCGGTTTGGCTCAATGGATAGAGCGTTGGCTTGGGGTCTGAGGGGACCCGGGTTCGATTCCGGTCAAGGGCATGTACCTTGGTTACGGGCATATCCCCGGTAGGGGGTGTGCCAGAGGCAGCTGATCAATGATTCTCTCTAATCGATGTTTCTAGCTCTCTGTCTCTCTCCCTTCCTCTCTGTACAAAATCAATAAAATATATTTTTAAAAAATAATAAATAAATAAAAAATCAATAAAAAATATTTTTTTAAAAATTAAAAGAGAGCAGTCACGTCTGGGGCAGGATCTGATGGCTGTGTCTGCTCTGTTTCAGCTCCGCCGGTGCCTGCTCTCCGAGGGAACGGACGCTGCTCTCAGTCGCTGCCAGCTGCCATGTCCAGCCACTGCCCCTCCCTCCCGCAGCAGCCCCACCCGGGGTGCCAGCCCACGCCCTGGCCCCTATGAAGAGGTGACTCTGCTTTCTCTCATCTCTAGTCACTCGAATCTCTCCCTTCTCGGTGGAATCTGTCTTCTCTGAACTCTCGCTTCTGCCTGGAGCCATGCAGTTGAATTTGCTGAGTCATCTGATGGAGTTTTGCTGTGTCATCTGATCCATGCTGCTGAGCCATGCAAGTGATTTTCGCTGAGTCGTGCACTTGATTTTTTTTTTTTTTAATATATATTTTCTTGACTTTTTTACAGAGAGGAAGAGAGAGGGATAGAGAGTTAGAAACATCAATGAGAGAGAAACATCCATCAGCTGCCTCCTGCACACCCCCCACTGGGGATGTGCCCGCAACCAAGGTCCATATGCCCTTGACCGGAATCGAACCCGGGACCTTTAAGTCCGCAGGCCGACGCTCTATCCACTGAGCCAAACCGGTTTCGGCCATGCATTTGATATTGCTGAGCCATACATACAATTGATTTTTGCTGAGTCATCCCATTGATTTTTTTTTTTGCTGAGTTATCCCATTGATTTTTTTTTTTTTTTTGCTGAATCATCCCATTGATTTTGCCGAGTCACCCAATTGAGTGACCACTCTGACCAGCAGGTCAGTGCCCTCCGGGGACAGGACGGGAGGAAGACAAGGTGTGGGTGAGGGGACAGCACCATCCCTGGTGGTTACACGTAGGCCAGGTTGCCAAGCTGAGGCTGGCCCAGGTGTCCTCCTGATGCTTCGGAGCCGGTGAGGGTGATGGACCCACTGCTTCCGCCAGAGGAGGAGGGAGGGGCCTGCAGAGGCCCGGGGCTGGGGAGGTGGGCCTTGGGCGGCCCGTGTCCCCTTCCCGGGCCTCAGTGTCCACTCTTATAACTCGGCCAGAGTGACGCCTGGCTGGCCTCCCTCCACGGCGGTCCTGAGGACGAAATAACTGACTGGACGTGAAATGCAATGGGCAGCCCTGGCCGGTGTGGCTCAGTGGATAGAGCGTCATCGGCCTGCAGACGGAAGGGTCCTGAGTTCGATTCCAGTCTAAGGCACAGGCCCGGAGTTGTGGGTTCGATCCTCCAGGACGGGGCGTGCAGGAGGCAGCCGATTCATGATTCTCTCTCATTATGGATGTTTTTCGCTCTCCTCCCTTCCTCTCTGAGATCAGTAAAAATATTAAAATAATTAAAAAATAATAATAATAGCTGAAACCGGTTTGGCTCAGTGGATAGAGCGTCGGCCTGCGGACTGAGGGGTCCCGGGTTCAAATCCAATCAAGGACCTTGGTTGCGGGCACATCCCCCACGGGGGGGCGTGCAAGAGGCAGCTGATGGATGATTCTCGCTCATCGATGTTTCTAACTCTCTATCCCTCTCTCTTCCTCTCTGTGAAAAAAATCAATAAAATATATTTTTAAAATAATAATTAATAATAACAAACGATGACGCTGCCTCGCTGGCTGCCTCCCCGCAGGGCTGGAAGATGGTCCGCCGGCCGCGATGGAGGAGCCCACGCCCGAGGCCGTCTACGTGGACGTGGACAAGGGGCTGACGCTGGCCTGCTTCGTCTTCCTCTGCCTCTTCCTCGTGGTCATGATCATCCGCTGCGCCAAGGTCATCATGGACCCGTACAGCGCCATCCCCACGTCCACCTGGGAGGAGCAGCACCTGGATGACTGAGGGGCAGCGGGGGACGCAGCTCCCGGTGGGGGGGGAGCCCCCCTCAGCCTCGCCTGCTCCCACGGGCACATCCGAGTGATGTGCTCGGGGTGCCCCAGGGGTTCCAGTTTGAGAAACGCAGCGACTATGGGGCGGTCACCATGGTGACACCACCGTGGCCTCCTTTGGGGGGCCCCTCTGCCCATCAGATGCAAACCGGCCCTGGGGAGGGGAGCCCCCAGTGAAGTCGCCCCTCGAACCCAAGCCCCTCCAGGGGGCCACTGTGAATGGGGGTGACGGGGGACTTCCCGGCTGCATTTTTTAAAAACGAACACACACAGAGCGGTTTATTTTTCTGCTGCCGATGAGGGGTGCGTTTTAGAAGTTTGGGGGGGAAATACAGACACGTGGAACCCCGCCTCCCGGGAGCCGCTGCTTTGACAGAGTCGCCCAGCCTTTGGGACGCACACGTTATCTACATGGGTCGCACCGCGTGCGTGGCGTGTCGTTCACATTACAGCGTCGAACCCGGGACCCGGAGTCCCTGTGGGTGGGGCATCCCACCGGGGGGGGGGGGGGGCGCGAGGTCGGTGCTGAGTAACCCCTAACTGTGGTCAGACATTGGAATCTTCTGGTTCTCTCTCCCACAAAAATGGTTGCCGCCAGTCACAGCTTCCTTTAAAATACACACGGAGCGGCCAGAGGATGATGGTCTCTGGACGCATAATAACCTGGCCACTCCGTGTCTGTTCTATAGAATAAAAGGCTCATGTGCACATGGTCCCCTCGACCAGGAGTCCGACCAGCAGGCAGGCCGGCCGACCGCCCCTGTCCCCTCCTCCTGGCCAGGCTGGCTGGAGCCCACCCATGCACGGATTCATGCACTGGGCCTTTAATACACACACACACACACACACACACACACACACACACAGAGTGGCCAGACGATGATGATCTCTGAACGCATAATAACCTGGCTACTCAGTGTATAAATATATGAGAGGCCCGGTGCATGCATCCGTGCATGGGTGGGGTCCGGCCAGCCTGGCCAGGGGGAGGGGACACGGGCAGTTGGCCGGCCTGCCTGCTGGTTGACCTCCTGGTTGAGGGGACCGTTTGCATATGAGCCTTTTATTCTATAGGACAGACACGGAGTGACCAGCTTATTATGTGTCCAGAGACCATCATCATCTGGCCACTCAGTGTATGTTTTATGGAGATCAGAGAGGGAGAGGGGCAGAAAGAAACATCAATGATGAGAGAGAATCACTGATTGGCTGCATCCTACATGCCCCATGCCCCACACTGGGGATGGAGCCCACAACCCCGGCCTGTGCCCTGAGGGGGGATCGAACCCGTGACCTCCTGGTTCCTAGGTCAATGCTCAGCCACAGGGCCACGCCAGCCGCATAGACACTGAATTACGTTGCTGATTTTTCCTCACACAAAACTGTCTCAGCTACTCGTGTCTTGGAAGTGGACCGGCCCCCCCAAGAATGATGGACAGACGGGGAGACCTGGGCTCCTCGGCCAGCCTCTCGGTACCTCCGTTCCCTCATTTCCCTTATTTCCTTTTATTGTTGGTGAATCCTCGCCCGAGAATATTTCTCCCGTTGATTGTTTAGAGGGGGAGGGAGGGATGGAGAGAAACATCGATGGGTTCGCCCTCCTGCACACGCCCCAACCAGGGCTGGGGAACCGGCGACCCGGGCATGTGCCCTTGACCGGAATCGAACCCGGGACCCTTCAGCCTGCAGACCGACACTCTAGCCACTGAGCAACACTGGCCGGGGGGGGGCGGGCGGGCTGCATGTCCTTACTGGATTGGGAGAGCCGGGCCTCCCTGTCCCATGAGGCCAACCCAGAATTCCAGGCGCTGGCTCCATGCCGAGGGGTCCTGGTCCTATCGCCAGGTCGTGGGACCCCAGAGCTTGATGGCCACTGGGGCGGGTCATGACCCCCCAACATCCCCTTCCTCCTCCCCCCACCATCTCACTGACACACACACGGATGCATGAGTGTCCCCGGGAAGCAGTGACGACGTCCACGCTGCGTGCAGGGCACCGTGGCTTTATTTATTCACTTGCTCCTGAGGGAGGGGCCCCCGGTCCCGGGTGGGGGGGCGGCGGGGGTCCAGCCAGGCGGGCGTCCAGGACGCCGGGAGGCCCTCACGCTGACGGGAGGGCGGGCAGCACCTTGCCCGAGCACTGGCCGAAGCCCACGCGGTAGCCGTCCCCCTGGCAGTGGCCTGGAACAGAGGGACACGGGTCGGCGGTGACCCCCACACGGGGGTCATGGGGACCGAGGCCCGGGCGGCCACGGCGAGGGCAGGCCGTCTCGGAGCTGGGCGCCCCCTGGGGGGTGGGACTCCGTGCCCCGCCCCCGCCCCAAGGACCCTCACAAACACCCCAAGGGGCTGCACGGCGTGGGTTTGGGGTTCAGCCCAAAGCAAGAGGCCTGGCTTCCCCACCGACCAGCCCCGTGACCTTGGCCATCCCCACCCAGACTCAGTTTCCTCATCTGTGAAATGGGTTCAGGGAGCGAGCCCAGCAAGGCAGGACCATGGCAAAGATGGGATGGGAACTGAGCTCGGGCCCCTCACCTGGAGACAGGGGTCACAGGCCTCGTCTCTCAGGCACAGGAGGATCCGATGACATGCCCACGCATACCCGCCGCCCCCCCCCCAGCACATGCTCGCCCACAGGGTAGATGCCCCAAGCCTGCACGCCCCTCCTCATCCCCCCTCCCCCGCAATGATATTCTGAGGGGAAGGAAGAGAGGAGGGTTTAGACAAGTGTTAGAGGAGAGAAGCCTGCCAGGCGCTGAGAGAGCACAAAGGAGGGGACATCCGAGCTGGGGCGTTGACGGGTGTGTAGGAGTTCGCCGGCGAGGGCAGAGGGAACAGCAGATGCAAAGGCACAGACTGTGTCTGCTTCCCGAATGCAGACGGCCTTGGCGTCCTCTCGGTCCCCACCGCCCCGCCCCCATCTCGCAGACACGCTGCTCTGCCAGGTCCACATCCGGCGACCTGGGCGACCGGACATTATTTTATCGCTCTGCGCAGGGAGCCCGGGACAGAGGGCCACATCCGGGGTCTCTGTGGTCTGGGGAGGGTCCGACGGAGAACCCCTGCTACCCAAGGCTGGGAGGAGGGACAGAGCGAGCAGACACTGGGATGCTAGAGGGGGGCCGAGCCAGGCGCTGCCCAGCCAACAGGACAGCGCACGCGGCAGGGGGCAGGAGGGCAGGGGCGGGGGGCAGGGGGTAGGGGGGCAGGGAGACGCAGGCAGGGAGACAGGGGCAGGGGGCAGTGGGTAGGGGGGCAGGGAGATAGGGGCAGGGAGACGGGCAGGGAGACAGGGGCAGGGAGTGCGGGCAGGGAGGCAGAGGGATGTGGGCAGGGGGCAGGGGCAGGGAGACGGGGGCAGGGGGTAGGGAGGCAGGGGCAGGGAGACATGGTCAGGGAGACAGGGGCAGGGAGATGCGGGCAGGGAGACGGGAACAGGGAGATGCGGGCAGGGAGGCAGAGGGACGTGGGCAGGGGGCAGGGGCAGGGGCAGGGAGACGGGAGCAGGGAGATGCAGGCAGGGAGGCAGAGGGACGTGGGCAGGGGCAGGGAGACTTGGGCAGGGAGACATGGTCAGGGAGAATGGGGCAGGGAGCCGTGGTCAGGAGACGGGGACAGGGGAAAAGCGGGCGGGAGGGGGGAGGGGGGCAGGGGCAGGAGGATGGGGGCAAGGAGACGCGGGCAGGGGAAAAGGGGTGGGAGGGGGTAGGGGGCAGGGGGGCAGGGGCAGGAGGATGGGGGCAGGGGGACGGGGCAGGGAGATGCGGGCAGGGGCAGGGAGACATGGTCAGGGAGATAGGGGCAGGGGAAAGGGGTTGGGAGGGGGGAGGGGGGGCAGGGCAGGAGGATGGGGGCAGGGAGACATGGTCAGGGAGACGGGGGCAGGGGAAAGGGGGGCGAGGGGGAGGGGGCAGGGGAAGGAGGATGGGGGCAGGGAGACATGGTCAGGGAGACGGGGGCAGGGGAAAGGGGGGCGGGGGGAGAGGGGGGCAGGGGCAGGAGGATGGGGGCAGAGAGACATGGTCAGGGAGAAGGGGGCAGGGGAAAGGGGTGGGAGGGGGTAGGGGGCAGGGGGGCAGGGGCAGGAGGATGGGGGCAGGGGGACGGGGCAGGGAGATGCGGGCAGGGGCAGGGAGACATGGTCAGGGAGATAGGGGCAGGGGAAAGGGGTTGGGAGGGGGGAGGGGGGGCAGGGCAGGAGGATGGGGGCAGGGAGACATGGTCAGGGAGACGGGGGCAGGGGAAAGGGGGGCGAGGGGGAGGGGGCAGGGGAAGGAGGATGGGGGCAGGGAGACATGGTCAGGGAGACGGGGGCAGGGGAAAGGGGGGCGGGGGGAGAGGGGGGCAGGGGCAGGAGGATGGGGGCAGAGAGACATGGTCAGGGAGAAGGGGGCAGGGGAAAGGGGGCGGGAGGGGGCAGGGGGCAGGGGGGCAGGGGCAGGAGGATGGGGGCAGGGAGCCATGGTCAGGGAGATGGGGGCAGGGGCAGGGAGACGGGGGCAGGGAGAAGGGGGCGGGGGGGGGCAGGGGGGCAGGGGCAGCAGGATGGGGGCAGGGAGCCATGGTCAGGGAGATGGGGGCAGGGGCAGGGAGATGGGGGCAGGGAGAAGGGGGCGGGGGTGCAGGGGGGCAGGGGCAGGAGGATGGGGGCAGGGAGCCATGGTCAGGGAGCCGGGGACAGGGGAAAGGGGGCGGGGGTGGAGGAGGGCAGGGGCAGGAGGATGGGGCAGGGAGACGCGGCCGCCGCCCTCACCGGTGATGATGACCTCGTCCCCGTCCTGCAGGAAGCGCCGGGTGTTGCCGTAGCCCAGCTCGATGGCCTGTGTGCCGCGCCAGGACAGCTCCAGCATGGAGCCGAAGCTCTCCGGCTCCTGCCGAGAGAAGGGGCAGAGGGTCAGGGCCTCGGAGGCTCAGGCCGGGGTTCGATTCCCCGTCAGGGCACAGGCCCGGGGGGCGGGCTCCATCCCCAGTGGGGGGCGTGCAGGAGGCGGCCGATCCATGATGCTCTCTCCTCATCAATATTTCTCTCTCCCTCCCCCTCCCTTCCTCTCTGACATCAGGGACCCAGCTCCGGGCGAGCCTGTTGGCTCCGGCACAGACAAGGCCTGGGGGCCCCGGGCTGGGCGGGGCATCCGGGGCCCCCAAGTCCCTGCCTCGGTGGAACCACAGGGAAAAGCCCTCTGGCAATGCTGGCCCCCCACCACCGCGGACAAGAGGCTGCAGTCCGGGCCTGGCAGGAAGGGACTGGCCCACGCACCCTCCTCCCTGCACCCCACCATCTCTGGGGCTCTGAGACCTGCCCTGGGCTGACAGGGGGACGGGGGGCGGTGGGGGGGCATGGAGTGGGGGGAGGAGGCCTCGGCAGCTGCTCCCCACGCAGACAGGCATGGCCTCACGCTCCCACGCCCGCCTCTTTCCCTCTGAATTTGAAATTACAAACAGTTTTCATTTTTTTTTGGAGGGAGGGAGAGGGAGAGAAGGATAGAAACATCAGTGACGGGAGAGAATCAGGACCGGCTGCCTCCTGCACGCCCCGCATGGGGGACGGAGCCCGCCACCCGGGCCTGCGCCCTGAGCGGGGAATCGAACCCTGATCCCCTGGATCCTCGGTGGATGCTCCACCCACTGAGCCACCCCGGCCGGGGAAAGGAAACCCCTCCGGCTCCCAGACGCGGAGGAAGCCGATAGGACAGAGGCGCCCGCCTGGGGGTGAGCGGGGCCCTGTGGCTGCGTGGGGAGCGGGGTGGGCGTGGGGGTGGGGGTGGGGGTGGGGGCGTGAGGGGACGCACCGGCCCGCTGATGGTCCCGGACGCCAGCAGGTCCCCGGGCCGCAGGTTGCAGCCGTTGACGGTGTGGTGAGCGAGCTGCTGCAGCATCGTCCAGTACATGTGCTGCAGGGGACAGGGGCACGGGCTTCACACGGCCAGCCAGGGCACACAGCACCCCAATACTCCGGGCCCCCCGGCTTCCCCCAGTCCCCCCACCCCTGGTTTTCCCTGTGTCCCCCAGCCCCCAGGTCACCGGCTTCCCCCAGGTCCCCCCGGCTTCCCCCAGGAACCCCCACTTCCCCCAGGCCCCCCCAGATTCCCCCAGGTCCCCCACCCCGGTTCCCCCAGACCCCCTCCCCCCCAGCTTGCCAAAGGCCCACATCCCCGGCTTTCCCCGGGCCCCCCAGCCCCCAGGCCACCGGCTTCCCCCAGGACCCCTCTAGGCTTCCCTCTGCCCCCCCCCGTTTCCCCCAGACCCCACAGATTCCCCCATGTTCCCCCCCGGCTTCCCCCGGGCCCCCCAGTCCTCCAGGCCACCAGCTTCCCCCTGGCATCCCCCAGATCCCCCCAGGCCTCCCCCCGGCTCCCCCCAGCCCCCTCAGATTCCCCCAGCCCCCCCAGATTCCCCCAGCCCCCCCGGATTCCCCCAGCCCCCACCCCCGGCTTCCTCCAGCCCCCCCGGCTTCCCCCAGCCCCCCCAGCTTCCCCCAGCCCCCCCGGATTCCCCCAGCCCCCCCAGATTCCCCCAGGCCTCCCCCCGGCTTCCCCCAGCCCCCCCAGCTTCCCCCAGCCCCCCCGGATTCCCCCAGCCCCCCCAGATTCCCCCAGGCCTCCCCCCGGCTTCCCCCAGCCCCCCCAGATTCCCCCAGCCCCCCCGGATTCCCCCAGGCCTCCCCCCGGCTCCCCCAGTCCCCCCAGATCCCCCCAGCCCCCCTGGATTCCCCCAGGCCTCCCCCCGGATCCCCCAGCCCCCCCAGATCCCCCCAGCCCCCCCGGATTCCCCCAGGCCTCCCCCCGGCTCCCCAGCCCCCCAGATTCCCCCAGCCCCTCCGGATTCCCCCAGCCCCCCCCGGATTCCCCCAGGCCTCCCCCCAGATTCCCCCAGCCCCCCCGGATTTCCCCAGGCTTCCCCCCGGCTCCCCCAGCCCCCCCAGATTCCCCCAGCCCCCCCAGATTCCCCCAGGCCTCCCCCCGGCTCCCCCAGCCCCCCTAGATTCCCCCAGGCCCCCCCAGATTCCCCCAGCCCCCCCAGATTCCAGGCCTCCCCCCGGCTCCCCCAGCCCCCCCAGATTCCCCCAGACCCCCCCGGTTTCCCCCAGACCCCTCAGATTCCCCCAGCCCCCCCAGATTTCCCCCAGGCCTCCCCCCGGCTCCCCCCAGCCCCCCCCCAGATTCCCCCAGGCCTCCCCCCGGCTTCCCCCAGCCCCCCAGGCCACTGGTTTCCCCTCCCCGAACCCCCAGCCTCCGGCTCCCCCCACCCCCCCCCCGCACCCCCCCTCCCAGGTTCCTCTGGGCGATGGTGACAGCCGTCCTTCTGCAGAGCTGCCCGGGAACCGCCCCGCTGTCTCTGTTCCAGCCCTGCTCCCCCCCCCCCCACACACACACACCCCGCCTGCTCAGAGCCTCAACGTGCCGTCCTGAGGACACTCCGCCCTCCAACGCCCCGAGCCCAGGAGGACGGAGGTGCCCGTCAGGGCAGAGGCCGCTCCTGAGCAAAACCCCGAGACCCTCTCCCACCAGGGCCTGGAGCGAGGGGCCTGCAGGGAGGTCAGGCTGGGGAGGGGGGGGCGGGACCATGTGCCCCCCTTCCCCACTGCCTGGGATCTGCCATCCCAGAGCCACCTGTCCGGGCAGAGGCACCTCAGAAACGGACTTCGGCCTGGCCGGCGTGGCTCAGGGGTAGAACATCCACCTATGAACCAGGAGGTCCGGGTTCGATTCCCGGTCAGGGCACATGTCTGGATTGCAGGCTCCGTCCCCAGTGGGGAGCATGCAAGAGGCAGCTGATCTGTGATTCTCTCTCATCATGGATGTTTCTGTCTCTCTCTCCTCCTTACTCTCTGAAATCAATTAAAAAAAAAAATTTTTTTTTTAAAAGTTCAGCCCTGGCCGGTGTGGCTCAGTGGATGGAACAGGCCTGCAGACTCAAGGGTTCCGGGTTCGATTCCGGTCAAGGGCATGTGCCTTGGTTGCGGGCACATCCCCAGTGAGGGGCGTGCAAGAGGCAACTGGTCGATGTTTCTCTCTCATCGATGTTTCTAGCTCTCTATCCCTCTCCCTTCCTCTCTGTAAAAAATCAATAAAATATATTAAAAAAAAAAAAAAGTTCACCTAAAAATTAAAAATAAAAATCACCGGGACCCATCCAGCCCCTAGCGGGACGGAAGCCGGCACTAGACCCTCCGAGGAAAACTCCCAGCATCCCTCTGGAGGACCTCGTGACCCAGGACCGGGTCCTGGGGGCCCACAGGCAACCCGTCAGCATCTCCCCACATGGACGCTGCTCCCTGGTTCCCACCGGAGGGAACGGCTGTTGCCCCCCGCCCCCGTCCTGCCCTGTTCTTCATGTCCGTCCGTCCGTCCATCCATCTGTCCGTCAGCACCTGGCCCCGTGCCCACGCTTACCTTAAAATTGGACTTGCAGATGGGAATTGGCTGGATCATGTTCTCTCCTGCGGGAGAGACGGGGAGCATGGACAGAGAGACTCGCTTCTGTCCATCCAGACAGAAGAAAAAAAACAAAAACAAAAAAACAGCCGAGACTTGTGTGGCTCAGTGGATAGAGCGTCAGCCGGCGAACTGAAAGGTCCCGGGTTCGATTCCAGTCAAGGGCATGCGCCTTGGTTGTGGGCACATCCCCAGTGGGAAGTGTGCAGGAGGCAGCTGGTCGATGTTTCTCTCTCTCATCGATGTTTCTGACTCTCTATCCCTCTCCCTTCCTCTCTGTGAAAAATCAATAAAATATATATATTTTTAAAAAAACAAAAAGCACACAAAACCAAACACCGCCTTGCAGGGCGAACGCTGTGGCCTAAGCTGCCCACCGACCCACATGGCTTTTGCCTAACGAGTCCCAGGGAGAATCAGCGGGCAGGGGGCTCAGCTGGTTCGAGTCCCGTCTCGACCCACCGAGGAGGCAGGTTTGACTCCCAGACGGGGCACATACAGGGGTCAACCGGTGCCCGGCCGGTGTGGCTCAGTGGATATCACAGTTCAAATCCCGGTCAGGGCACATGCCCGGGTTTGGGGGCTCCATCCCCAGTGGGGGGGGGGGTATACAAGAGGAAACAGATCTGCGATTCTCTGTCATCATTGATGTTTCTCTCTCGCTCCCTCTCCCTTCCTCTCTGAAATAAAATATACACGGATTGCCGAAACCGGTGTGGCTCAGTGGATAGAGCGTCGGCCTGAGGACTGAAAGGTCCCAGGTTCGATTCCGGTCAAGGGCATGGACCTTGGTTGCGGGCACATCCCCAGTGGGGGGCGTGCAGGAGGCAGCTGGTCGATGTGTCTCTCTCATCGATGTTCTAACTCTCTATCCCTCTCTCTTTCTCTCTTTAAAAAAATCAATAAAATATATATATATATATATATATAATATATATATGTTACATATCTATATATATATATATATGGAGTGGCCAGATTATGATGATCTCTGAACAAATAATAATCTGGCCACTCAGTGTGTGTGTGTGTGTGTGTGTGTGTGTAGCCCAGTGCATGAATCCGTGCATGGGTGGGGTCCAGCCAGCCTGGCCAGGGGGAGGGGACATGGGCGGTCGGTCGGCCTGCCTGCCGGTCGGACTCCTGGTCGAGGGGACCATGTGCCTATGAGCCTTTTATTCTATAGGACAGACACGGAGTGGCCAGATTATTCTGATCTCTAAACACCTAATAATCTGGCCACTCTGGTGCATGCATTCGTGCGTGGGTGGGGTCCGGCCAGCCTGGCCAGGGGGAGGGGACAGGGGCGGTCGGCCGGCCTGCCTGCCGGTCGGACTCCTGGTCGAGGGGACCATGTGCCTATGAGCCTTTTATTCTATAGGACAGACACGGAGTGGCCGGATGATGATGCGTCCAGAGATCATCACAATCTGGCCGCTCCGTGTATTTTCAAAAAGGAACAAAAGAAGGACCCTCGTGTCTTGAAGGCTGCAGCAGGAGATTCCCTCTCCCCCTCCCTCCCCCCTCCCTCCCCCCCCCCCGCCAGCTCAGGAGCACCCTGAGCCCGGCCACGCCCTCCAACCCCCCCCCCCCCCCCGGTACCTTTCAGGCCCACGGACAGATGGATGTCAAACGTGTAGGGCTGGTCGTGGAGGAGATATGGTAGCGGCTTGGGGTCCTGGGAGGGCAGAGCACAGCAGAGGGTCAGTGACGGGGGGCGGGGGGGGGGGGGGCGGGCAGGGGGAGCTCAGATGAGGACACGGGGTAGAGGGCCAGCTCTCCGGGGACCCAGCACCGTGAGAGACGTGGGGGGTGTCCCATGAGCCAGACTCCAGGGAACGAGGCTGAGGGAGGGGCAGGTCAGAGGGGCAGAGGCCAAAGCGGGGGCGCCCCCAGACAGTGGGGGAGGGGGGCCTGGGGGGGGGGGTTCAGTGGCAGAGCAGCTGTCAACCTAGCAACCAGGAGGTCAGGGATCAATTCCAGGTCAGGGCACATGCAGGAGGCAGCTGACCCACGATTCTCTCTGATCATGGATGTTTCTCTCTCTTCCTCTCCCTTCCTCTCTGAAAACAATTAAGAAAAACCCTGACCGGTGTGGCTCAGTGGACAGAGCGTAGGCCTGCGGACTGAAGGGTCCCAGGTTCCATTCCAGTCAGGGGCATGGACCTTGGTTGCGGGCACATCCCCTGTAGGAGGTGTGCAGGGGGCAGCTGATGGATGTTTCTCTCTCATCGATGTTTCTAACTCTCTCTCCGCCTTCCTTCCTCTCTAAAATATCAATAAAATATATATATTTTTAAAAAGAGCTCTAGCTGGTGTTGCTCAGTGGATAGAGCATCGGTCTGCAGACTGAAAGGTCGGGGTTCAATTCCAGGTCAGGGCACAGGCTAGGGTTGTGGGCTCCATCCCCAGTGTGGGGCGTGCAGAAGGCAGCCGATCCAGGATTCTCTCTCCTCCTGGATGTTTCTATCTTTCCCTCTTCCTTCCTCTCTGAAATAAATAAAAAACATACATTTTATTAAAAAAAAACACACAATAAAAACAAAGGAAGAACGTTGAGTGAGTAACGGTTCGGAAGTGGCGAGCATCCTGCAGGTTGAGGCCAGGGGGTGAACTGGGAAGGGCTTGTGCAGAGAGAGGTGTCTGGGTGCCAGGGTGCAGAGGGGGGTTGGGGTGGGGCTGGAGCAGGTGAGATTCTCGGAGGCCAGTGTGGCGGGCCACATGACAGGACTGGAGACGCAGGGAACCGGGCCGGGTCACGTGGCAAAGAGGTTAAGGGTGCGAGTGTCTAGGAAAAGCTGGGGTCTGCCAGGCTGGCACCCTGAGGAGGGCATGTAACTGGGGCGCTGGGGGAGGCCCCGCGGGGATGGGGTCTCGGGTAACCCCCCCCTCCACGCTGGGACAGGCTGAGGCCCGAACATCAGCTCCAGGAGTAGCTCCAGCCTGCATCCTACCACGCGGCCACCAGGGGGCGCCCCCGCACAGCACATCCCAGCCGCCTGGTGCCTGCTGCCTTGTGCCTCCCGTCGGGTGGCCCTGGCAGGGACTCCTTGTCCTGCCAAGTGCCAGCTCCCTGGCCTCGGAGGGCGGGTTCTGAAGGTTACAACACGGTGTGTTTTTCCCCCCCAAAAAAACAAAAAAAAACTGTGCAGGGGGCGGGAGAGCAGCAGGCGGGCTGATTGGCGCTGCCCGGAGGTCACCGGCCCGGGGCAGAGGGCCCGGGGTGTGGGGCTCACCTGCTCCGGGTTGGGCATCACGAAGGGCATGAGGGCGTCCATGGGCACGACCCACGGGGAGATGGTGGTGGCGAAACTCTTGCCCAGGAACGGCCCGAGCGGCACGTACTCCCACCTCTGGATGTCTCGAGCTGCGGGGTGGAGGAGGAGGAGGAGGAGAAGGAGGAGGAGGAGGAGGAGGAGGAGGAGGAGGAGGAGGAGGAAGAGGAGGGCAGAGCTTACCCGGCTGCCCCCCCTGGGAACCTCGGCCCCCGGCTCCCTCCTCCCCAACCACGGAGCAGGGGTGCTCAGCACAGCCGCCCCCAGCTAGGCCCCAACCAGGCTGCCCAGGACCCAGGGGCATCGGTCCTTTGGGGTCCCTGTGCCAGGATGACCCTCCGGCAGGTGGGAGGGTCCCCGGTGAAGGCTGGCTCGGGAGCGCTGGGCCGGGCTGCTGAGTTTGATGGAAACCATCACTCAGCCACTAACGGAGTCCTCTCTGTGCCTCAGCTGTGAAATGGGAACAATAACGCCGCCAGTGGGTCCCGGACGGCATGGCTCAGTGGCTGAGCGTCGACCTAGGAACCAGGAGGTCAGGGTTCGATTCCCGGTCAGGGCACAGGCCCGGGTGGCGGGCTCCATCCCCAGTGGGGGGCGTGCAGGAGGCAGCCGATCCGTGATTCTCTCTCCTCATGGATGTCTCTCTCTGCCTCTCCCTTCCTCTCTCTGAAATCAATAAAAAAATATATATTAGCCGAAGCCGGTGTGGCTCAATGGATAGAGCGTCGGCTTGGGGACTAAAGGGTCCCGGGTTCGATTCCGGTCAAGGGCATGTACCTTGGTTGAGGGCATATTCCCAGTAGGGGGTGTGCAAGAGGCAGCTGATCAATGACTCTCTCTCATCGATGTTTCTAACTCTCTATCCCTCTCCCTTCCTCTCTACAAAAATCAATAAAATATATATTTAAAAAATATATATATATATATATTAAAAAATCACCAAGCCCTAGCCAGGCTAACTCAATAGAGTGTTGGCCTGCGAACTGAAAGGTCCCAGGTTCCATTCCCATCAAGGGCCCATGCCCAGGTTGCGGGCTCCATCCCCAGTGGGGGGGGGGCGTGCAGGAGGCAAGCCGATCCATGATTCTCTCTCCTCGTGGATGTTTCTCTCTCTCCCTCTCTGTCATCAATAAAAACATATTAAGAAAATATACCACCAGCCGAAATCGGTGTGGCTCAGTGGATAGAGCGTTGGCCTGCGGACTGAAAGGTCCCAGGTTCGATTCCGGTCAAGGGCATGTGCCTTGGTTGCGGGCACATCCCCAGTGCGGGGTGTGCAGGAGGCAGCTGGTCGATGTTTCTCTCTCATCGATGTTTCTGGCTCTTTGTCTCTCTCCCTTCCTCTCTGTAAAAAATCAATAAAATATATTTAAAAAAAAAAAAAAAAGAAAAAGAAAATATATCACCAGCCGAAATCGGTGTGGCTCAGTGGATAGAGCGTCGGCCTGCGGACTGAAGGGTCCCGGGTTCGATTCCGGTCAAGGGCATGTGCCTTGGTTGCGGGCACATCCCCAGTGCGGGGTGTGCAGGAGGCAGCTGGTCGATGTTTCTCTCTCATCGATGTTTCTGGCTCTTTGTCTCTCTCCCTTCCTCTCTGTAAAAAATCAATAAAATATATTTAAAAAAAAAAAAAAGAAAAAGAAAATATATCACCAGCCGAAATCGGTGTGGCTCAGTGGATAGAGCGTCGGCCTGCGGACTGAAGGGTCCCGGGTTCGATTCCGGCCAGGGGCATGTGCCTTGGCTGCGGGCACATTCCTTAGTGGGGGGCGTGCAGGAGGCAGCTGATGGATGTTTCTCTCTATTCCTCTCCCTTCCTCTCTGTAAAAAAAAAAAAAAAAAAAATCAATAAAATATATTAAAAAAAGAAAGAAAATATATTACCAGGATGCATTTGGGCGGCCACACACAGTGCTCAGACCTGTTAGCTGTGACATCAGCCGTGTCCCCGGGCTGAGGGGACCCCTGCCCACATCCTGGGCTTCCCGGAGCCCAGGACCCCGCGGCCTGCTGGGAAACGCCCCCCCTCACCCCCCTGCACCCCGTCTCGGCCCAGAGCGCCCCGCCCCCACTCACAGCTCCAGTCGTTCATGAGGACCATGCCGAAGATGTGCTCGTGGGCCTTGGCGATGGGGATGGGCTCTCCCAGGCTGTTCCCGGGGCCTACGAAGAAGGCCTGCCCGCCCGCCCGCCCGCCGCCCCCGGGGAGCGCGTCAGGGCCTGGAGGGCAAAGGGCAGGCCCGGCCGAGGCCCCGACGGCACAGTGTTTCTGACGGAGCGGAAGCAGCGAATCAGAGCCGTGAGGAATAGCCATCGCGCCCCGTGAACCGCGATTGCGCTGTTCCGGTGAGAGAAGCGCCTTCCGGCCTGGCTGGCGGCCCCACCAGGGACCTGGGACTCACCTGGAGGTGCGGCCCCTGCTCCCCCAACTTTGCTACAGAAACCAGGGCCCCCAGCCCTTTGCATGTCACCGACCCTTTGAAGACCCCCCCAGCCCTTTGCATACCCACAGGCCTTTGCAAACCCCCAGCCCTTTGCATACCCACAGGCCTTTGCAAACCCTCAGCCCTTTGCATACCCACAGGCCTTTGCATACCCCCAGCCCTTTGCAAACCCTCAGCCCTTTGCATACCCACAGGCCTTTGCATACCCCCAGCCCTTTGCAAACCCCCAGCCCTTTGCATACCCACAGGCCTTTGCATACCCACAGCCCTTTGCAAACCCCCAGCCCTTTGCATACCCACAGGCCTTTGCAAACCCCCAGCCCTTTGCATACCCACAGGCCTTTGCATACCCCAGCCCTTTGCAAACCCCCAGCCCTTTGCATACCCCCAGCCCTTTGCAAACCCCCAGCCCTTTGCATACCCCCAGCCCTTTGCAAACCCTCAGCCCTTTGCATACCCACAGGCCTTTGCATACCCCCAGCCCTTTGCATACCCACAGGCCTTTGCAAACCCCCAGCCCTTTGCATACCCACAGGCCTTTGCATTCCCACAGGCCTTTGCAAACCCCCAGCCCTTTGCATACCCACAGGCCTTTGCAAACCACCAGCCCGCCTTGCCTGTGCACTGCCCACCTGGCACCCCTTTCCCTACGTCCCATGCCACCTCTGTCCTTCTCCCCAAAGTAAGCAGCCACCCATGGGGGGGGCAGGGCAGATGCTTGTGGGTGGCCTGCTGCCCCCCACGCTGCTGCTGCGGGCGGGATTGGAATGGGCGCTCACAGACGATGCCACCCTGTCTCTGCCCCCCCATCGGCTCAGGGAGGGGCAGCGGCCAGACCCCTCGGTTGTCCGGTTATATTTCTAAGCCGTGTCTGCTCCTGGGGAGACCCGTGGCCGCCTGGGGAAGGTGGGCACTGCAGCCCATGACCCTTCTGATCAGCCCTGAATGCCAAGCACAACAGCGCCTGGCTGCTGTCCTGCCGCCCCTCACAGCTCTGCACGTCAGCACCCGGCGGTTACATGAGGCTGGTGGGAGTGGAGGGAATCAGCCCCGGCAGGTGTGGCTCAGTGGATAGAGCGTCTGCCTGTAGGCTGAAGGGTCTGGGGTTCGATTCCAGTCAAAGGCATGTATCTGGGCTGCAGACTCGATCCCCAGTCCTGGTCAGACATGTGCTGGAGGCAACCAATCGATGTGTGCCTCTCACATCGATGTTTCTCTCTTTCTGTCTCTCCCCCCGCCCTTCCCCTCTCTCTAAAAGTCAAAGGAGCCCAGCCGGCGTGGCTCAGTGCTTGAGCGTCAACCTATGAACCAGGAGGTCACGGTTCGATTCCCGGTCAGGGCACAGGCCCAGGTGGCGGGCTCCATCACTAGTAGGGGGCGTGCAGGAGGCAGCCGATCCAGGATTCTCTCCCATCATGGATGTTTCTATCTCTCCTCCCTTCCTCTCTGACATCAATAAAAAAGTATATATTCTAAAATCAATGGAGCCGAAACCGGTTTGGATCAGTGGATAGAGCGTCGGTCTGCGGACTGAAAGGTCCCGGGTTCAATTCCGGTCAAGGCCATGTACCTTGGGTGCGGGCACATCCCCAGTAGGGGGTGTGCAGGAGGCAGCTGGTCGATGTTTCTCTTTCATCAATGTTTCTAGCTCTCTATCCCTCTCCCTTCCTCTCTGTAAAATAAATAAATAAATAAATAAATAAATAAATAAATAAATAAATAAATAAATAATATTTTAAAAATATAAATTAAAAAAATTAAAAAAAAATAAAAATCAATGGAAAAAATATCCTTAGGTGAGGATTCACACACACACACAAAAAAAAAGGGAAAGAAAAATGGTTATTTGTGCAAAATCAAAAGGCTGCCTCCAAAATGCAGCCAAGCCCCTAGCTGGTGTGGCACAGTGGATAGAGCGTCAGCCTACGGACTGAAGGGTCCCAGGTTTGATTCCTGTCAAGGCCACAGGCCAGGGTGGCGGGCTCAATTTCCAGTAGGGGGCATGCAGGAAGCAGCCGATCCATGATTCCCTCTCTTCATGGATGTTTGTGTTTCTCTCCCTCTCCCTTTCTCTCTATAATAAATAAAAATACTTTTTAAAAATGCAGCCAAGCCCTAACTGGTTTGGCTCAGTGGATAGAGCGTCAGCCTGCAGACCAAAGGGTCCTGGATGCGATTCTGGCCAAGGGCATGGACCTTGGTTGCGGGCACATCCCCAGTGGGGGGTGTGCAGGACCTTGGTTGCGGGCACATCCCCAGTGGGGGGTGTGCAGGAGGCAGCTGATGGATGTTTCTCTCTCATGGATGTTTCTAACTCTCTACCCCTCTCCCTTCCTCTCTGTAAAAAATCAATAAAATATATATATTTTTAAAATGCAGCCAAGAGCCTGATGGGCATACCCCACCCCAGCCCATCACCCACCGCCTTGGAGAGAAAAACATCCCAACACAAGGCCCAGGACCCAGCAGACACCCAGTTGTCCCTGTGGGACAAACTGGGACGGTGACTGTCAACAGCAGAGTCAGCGATGGCATTGCCAAGAGCAAACAAGCGCGCGGAGTCCTATTTGCTCTGTGACGAGTTGTTGATACACTGCAGACTTTTAACAAACCCAGGGCACCGGCTGACGCCGGATCTTACCGCCAGCCGCCAGGACCAGGGGCCCTGCCCTCCCCCGTCCGTCTCTGCGCCCACGCAGGCGAAGGCCGGCCCCCATCCTGGGCTGGGAGACCTGCTCTGAGGTCCATGTGGCTAGGGCAGCAGGAGAGGGCCTTGCAGGGCCTGGGGGACCCCCCCTGGGCAGTGCCCACACATTTCCTTGTCTGGACGGAGTCGGAAGAGATCAGCGAGCAGGACAGGACAGACCGGGAGCTCCTGCTGCCTGCAGATGACCCTGACTTCCGCAGCCACAGCCCTGGGGAGGGCGGCGGGGCGGGGGTGGGGGGCTCCCCCCACAGCCCTTCTCCTCCACCTGCCGAGAGTGGACACCAGAGCTTCCCCAGGCTTCACCTAAACCATGGGCGTTGCTATGAAAAGTCCCTCCGTGCCCTGGCCAGTGTGGCTCAGTGGATAGAGCGTCGGCCTGCGGACCAAAGGGTCCCCGGTTCAATTCGGGTCAAGGGCACGTACTTGCGTGCAGGCTCCTCCCCGGCCGGGGACTTGGTTGGGGCGTGTGTGCAGGAGGCAACCCATCGATGTGTGTGTCTCACATCGATGTTTCCCTCTGTCTCTCCCTCTCCCTCTCCCTCTCCCTTCCACTCTCTCTAAAATATCAATGGGAAAATATCCTCAGGGGGAGAATGAACAACACCAACAAAATTAATTTAAAAATAAAAATTAGCCCTGGCTGGTGTGGCTCAGTGGATAGAGCATCGTCCTGAGGACTGAAAGGCCCTGGGTATTGATTCCCGGTCAGGGCACATGCCCGGGTTGCGGGCGTGATCCCCAGTGTTGGGGGACGGGGGGAGGAGAGGCAGGCAATTCATGATTCTCTCTCATCATTGACGTTTCCATCTCTTTCTCTCTCTCTTTCCCTCTCCCTTTCTCTCTGAAATTAATAAAAAAATATATATTTAAAAATAAAATAAAATTAATAAAAAAAGAAAAGTCCCTCTCTGAGCTGGTCTGCACACATACACACACACACACACACACACACACACACACACATCTGCCTGGGCCAGGCCCCGCCATCTGACATCCGGTCATTGCAGTTTTTGTTTTGTTACTCCTCACCCAAGGGTATTTTCTCCATTGATTTTTAGGGAGAGTGGGAAGGAGGAAGGGAGTGGGCGGGGGGAGAGAGAGAGAGAGAGAGAGAGAGAGAGAGAGAGAGGGAGAGAGAGAGAGAGAAACATCGATGTGAGAGGGACACATCGATTGGTTGCCTCCTGCGTGTGCCCCGACCTGGGCTGGGGATCGAACGAGCAGCCCAGGTATGTACCTGCCCTTGACCTGGGCTTGAATCCTGAACCCTTCGGTGCTGGGGCCGATCCTCCGACCACTGAGCCATACTGGCCGGGCCTGCGATCGCGGTTATGGAGAGCCCAGGCCGCCGCCACGCTGAGACGCCGAGACCCCGCGCACACTCACCATTTCCAGCTCAATGTCCAAGAGTTTGCTGGGGCCGAACACGGGAGGCTTGGCTGCAACCACACGGGGACAGGGGCTGCCGTGAGGGCCGGGCCCGGGAACGCGCGGGGGACGCGGAGACGCGCGGGCGGGCGGGGCGGGGCGGGAGACCGCGGGGCACTCACAGTCATCCGGCCTCATCTGTCCCATGGGCCTGCGCACCGGCGTGCCGGACACCACGATGGAGGAGGCGCGGCCGTGGTACCCCACGGGCAGGTGCAGCCTGACGGAGGGAGACAAAGGATGCAGGTGAGGGTGCCGTCACGTGGGACAGAAAACACGTCAGCATTCTTTAAAAAAAAAAAAAAAAATTGCCGATACCGGTGTGGCTCAGTGGATAGAGCGTTGGTCTGCGGACTGAAAGGTCCCGGGTTCGATTCCGGTCAAAGGCATGGACCTTGGTTGCGGGCGCATCCCCGGTGGGGGGTGTGCAGGAGGCAGCTGGTCGATGATTCTCTCTCATCGATGTTTCTAACTCTCTATCCCTCTCTCTTCCTCTCTGTGAAAAATCAATAAAATATATATATTTTTAAATCCTATATAATAGAAGTCTAATATGCTAAGCGTCCAGTCATCTGGCCAGCTATTTTATTTATTTATTTATTTATTTATTTATTTATTTATTTATTTTTAAAAATATATATTTTTTATTGATTTTTCACAGAGAGGAAGAGAGAGGGATAGAGAGTTAGAAACACCGATGAGAGAGAATCATCGACCAGCTGCCTCCTGCACACTCCCTACTGGGGATGTGCCCGCAACCAAGGCACATGCCCTTGACCGGAATCAAACCAGGGACCTTTCAGTCCGCAGGACGACGCTCCATTCACTGAGCCAAACCGGTCCCAGCTGGCCAGCTATTTTAATGCAAAACATAGCTGTGACTACGGCCATAGGAAGTACCCATCATGCATCTTTTTTTATTTTATTTATTTTTTAATATATTTTATTGATTCTTTTTACAGAGTAAGGGAAAGAGAAAGAGAGCTAGAAACGTCGATGAGAGAGAAACATAGACCAGCTGCCTCCTGCACACCCCCCACCGGGGATGTGCCCACAACCAAAGTACATGCCCTTGACCGGAATCGAACCTGGGACCCTTCAGTCCACAGGCCGACGCTCTATCCACTGAGCCACACCGGTTTCGGTGAGAGTCACTGATTGGTAGCCTCCTGCATGCCCCCTAGTGGGGGTCGGGTAAGGATGAACAAAACAAACCAACAAACATAAGAGATGAAGCCGAAACCGGTGTGGCTCAGTGGCTAGAGCGTCGGCCTGCGGACTGAAAGGTCCCGGGTTCGATTCCGGTCAGGGGCATGGACCTTGGTTGCGGGCACATCCCCAGTGGGGGGCGTGCAAGAAGCAGCCGATCGATGATTCTCTCTCATCGATGTTTCTAACTCTCTCTCCCTCTCTCTTCCTCTCTGTAAAAAAAAAAAAAATTCAATAAAATATATTTAAAATAAAAAATAAGAGATGAAGGGACTGCTCCCGGGGCCCACAGCGGGTCCAGGGTGGAGCCGAGAAGCCCAGACGCGGAGATGGCAGGGAGCATTGTCTCCAGAAGGGCCGAGCCGTGAGCGTCATCAGGGTCGGCTTTTCCTTCCGCTGGTGCTGGGACCCCAGGGGGGCCCGGCAGCTCCCGGGACCGCGTGCCGCTGGGAGCAGGGGGGGGACAGACAGACAGACAGACGCGGAGCCCGGCACGCTCCGCCTGGGACCTACCAGTTGGGCATCAGGGCGTTGTCCTTGCCGCGGAACATGATCCCGACGTTGGAGGCATGCTGCCGAGAGGAGTAGAAATCCGTGTAGTCACCTGCGGAGGGAAGTCGCGGGAGAGAGAGTCTGTGGGGGGAGCCGGGCGCCTCGGGACGGAGAAGGGACGTGCCGAGGACGGGGTGGCAGGGACAGGTGGAGGAAGCAGGACAGCCAGCTTCCTCGGGTCCCCCCTCCGAGGGGTGGCAGGCGGGGGCACCCACTCAGGACATGTCACCAACGCTCAGCACAAAACGGACACAGATGAGCCTCCATAAAAAATAAAAAAAATCACTGGAGCCCGGCCGGGGTGGCTCAGTGGTTGAGCACCGACCTAAGAACCAGAAGGTCAGGGTTCGATTCCTGGTCAGGGCACATTCCCGGGTTGCGGGCTCCATCTCCAGTGTGGGGCGTGCGGGAGGCAGCCGATCCGTGATTCTCTCTCATCATGGATGGTTCTATTTCTCTCTCCTTCTCCCTCTCCCTTCCTCTCTAAGATCAATACAAATATATATTTTAAAAATACAATCAGCCGAAACCGGTGTGGCTCAGTGGTAGTACATCGGTCTGCGGTCTGAAAGGTCCCGGGTTCGATTCCGGTCAAGCGCACGTACATTGGTTGCGGGAACATCCCCGGTGGGGGGTGTGCAGGAGGCAGCTGGTTGATGTTTCTCTCTCATCGACATTTCTAGTTCTCTGTCCCTCTCTCCTCCTCTCTGTAAAAAAATCAATAAAATATATTAAAAAAAATAAAAATAGCCGAAACCGGTTTGGCTCAGCGGTAGAGCGTCGATCTGCAGACTGAAAGGTCCCGGGTTCGATTCCGGTCAGGGGCATGTACATTGGTTGCGGGCACATCCTCGGTAGGGGGTGTGCAAGAAGCAGCTGGTCGATGTTTCTCTCTCATCGGCATTTCTAGCTCTCTACCTCTCTCCCTTCCTCTCCGTAAAACATCAATAAAAATACATTAAAAAAATAAAAAATAAAATAAAAATACAATCAATAAGAATATATTTAAATAATAATAAAAAAAATAAAACATTACGTCAGAGTTCCCCACGGAGAAACAAATAATACACAAGGGATTGAGCCTTCCACAGGGCCCGAGTCGGGGGTTGGGGGAGGGGGTCCCGGCCCCGGAGCCCCTCCCACCAGGAGGCAGGGACCCGCCGTGCTGGCCCAGGAGGCCACCCCGAGCATGGACTCACCTATGGTAGCTGGCAGGTGCATGGTGGCTTGAGCCTGGGGGACGAACGCACTGAAATAAGAGCATGGATTTCGGGGTCAAGCGGGTGGCGAGGTGAGGTGCCCGCTGTGTGAACACCCGCAGGCCCACCCCTGTGCCCGATGCCCCGTGACTGTCTCCAGGCCCGACTGGACCGGCGAGGGTCTGCGCACTGAAGCTGGCATGCCTCCTGTCTGGCTCCAGGTCCCATTCCAGGAATCGAGCTAAACCCCTCGACTCTGGGAACCGGACAGAGACACGGATGGCCTGGCCAGTGCGGCTCAGTGGTTGAGCATCGACCTGTGAACTTGGAGGTCAGGGTTCGATTCCCAGTCAGGGCACAGGCCCGGGTTGCGGTTTCCATCCCCAGTGGGGGACGTGCAGGAGGCAGCTGATCAATCCATGGTTCTCTCTCATCATGGATGTGTGTCTTTCCCTCTTCCTTCCTCTCTGAAATCAATGAAAATATATTTTTTTAAAAATCCACAAATGTATTTAAAAAAATTTTTTTTTAAATATATTTTATTGATTTTTTCAGAGAGGAGGAGAGAGGGATAGAGAGCTAGAAACATTGATGAGAGAGAAACATCAACCAGCTGCCTCCTGCACACCCCCCACCGGGGATGTGCCCGCAACCAAGGTACATGCCCTTGACTGGAATCGAACCTGGGACCTTTCAGTCCGCAGACCGACGCTCTACCACTGAGCCAAACCGGTTTTGGCTAAAAAAAAATTTTTTAAATATATATTTTATTGATTGTTCATGGAGAGGAAGGGAGAGGGATAGAGAGAAACATCGATGAGAGAGAAACATCCATCAGCTGCCTCCTGCACACCCCCCACTGGGGATGTGCCCGCAACCAAGGTCCATGCCCTTGACCGGAGTCAAACCCGGGACCCTTCAGTCTGCAGACCGACGCTCTAACCACTGAGCAACACTGGCCAGGGCCAAACCTTTTTTATTTTTTTTAAAAAACTGGATGATGGCGATGAGGCAGGCGGAGGGCCCGTGGCACAGGGGTGATTCCATCCACCCTCCCCTCCTCCCCAGGGCCCTGCCACAGACATGCAGCCTCTGAGTCTTTGGATGATCCCGGCTGTCCTGTCTGTCCCCGTCGCCCTCCCACCCGCCCGCCCGCCGGGCTGGCCCCTCACCGCTTCCGCAGCTCCGCGTCGTCCCGCAGCCGGGCGTGGCCCGCGGACAGCAGGGTCTGCAGGTGGGCGCGCGCCTCCTTCCAGGCGCCCTGGCCCAGGGCCATGAAGTTGTTGAGCGTGGGCTGCAGGGAGGGGAGGGAGGGGTCACGCGTGGGGCTGTGCCGGGGGCTGCCCCTCTGCCCACAGGAGAGGCCGGCCTGCCCGCCGGGGCCCTGTCACGCCTCTCCTGGGCGCTCGCTCTCAGCTCTGTCGCCTGGGCATCAAGGTGGGGGACGAGCCCTGACCGGTGTGGCTCAGTGGATAGAGCGTCAGTCTGAGGACTGAAGGGTCCCAGGTTCGATTCTCGTCAAGGCATGGACCTTGGTTGCAGGCACATCCCCAGTAGGGGGTGTGCAGGAGGCAGCTGATCCATGATTCTCTCTCATCGATGTTTCTGACTCTCTCTCCTTCTCCCTTCCTCTCTGTAAAAACTCAATAAAACATATTTAATTTAAAAAAAAGAGTGGGGGATGGGGTCAGCGCCCCCAATGGGACTCAGCCCCTCACGGACTTGCACGCACAGCGGACAGAGCCGGGAGCTGCTGTCTGGACGCCGCTGGTGCCGCTCGGCCTGGCCCTCGGAGGGGGTTGGCTGAGTGGCTCCACCGGACACTCCAGTCTGCGCGTCAGCACAGTCTATGCCCACCTCTTCATTGGAGGCAAGAGAAGGTTTCCTGCCCGGCTGGTGTGGCTCAGTGGTTGAGGTTTGACCTATGAACCTGGAGGTCACAGTTCGATGCCCAGCCAGGGCACGTGCCCGGGGTTGCAGCTCAATCCCGAGTAGGGGGTGTGCAGGAGGCAGCCGATCCGTGGTTCTATCTCTCTCCCCATCTCCCTTCCTCTCTGAAATCAATAATTTTTAAAAAAATATATTTTATTGATTTTTGTACAGAGTGGAAGGGAGAGAGAGAGAGAGTTCAAAACATCAATGAGAGAGAGTCATTGATCAGTTGCCTCTTGCACAACCCCTACTGGGGATGTGCCCGCAACCAAGATACATGCCCTTGACCGGAATCGAACCCGGGACCTTTCAGTCCCCAAGCCAACGCTCTATCCATTGAGCCAAACCAAACCGGCTGACCTACACTCTTGATTCCAATAATTACAGGCTGTTGTTGTTCCTTGTGATTAAACCCCTATCCCAGTGGTCGGCAAACTCATTAGTCAACAGAACCACAGTTTGTCGGCCATTGCCATCATCCGTTTGGCTAAGTGGATAGAGCATCAGTCTGCAGACTAAAGGGTCCTGGGTTCAATTCCCAGTCAAAGCCACAGGTCCAGGTTTTAGGCTTGATCCCTATGTGGGGGGTGCTATTCCATGATTCTCTCTCGTTACTGATGTTTCTCTCTTTCCCTCTCCCTTCCTCTCTAAGATCAATAAAAATACACACTGAGTGGGCCGAAACCGGTGTGGCTCAGTGGATAGAGCGTCGGCCTGCGGACGGAAGGGTCCCAGGTTCGATTCCGGTCAAGGGCATGGACTTTGGTTGTGGGCACATCCCCAGTGGGGGGTGTGCAGGAGGCAGCTGATCGATGATTCTCTCTCATCGATGTTTCTAACTCTCTATCCCTCTCTCTTCCTCTCTGTAAAAAATCAGTAAAATATATTGGGAAAAAATATTTATATATATATACACTAAGTGGCCAGATGATGACGATCTTAGAATGCATAATAATCTGGCCACTCTGTGTCTATCCTATAGAATAAAAGGCTCATATGCACATGGTCCCCTCGACCGGGAGTCCGACCAGCAGGCAGGCCTGCCAACCGCCCATGTCCCCTCCCCCTGGCCAGGCTGGCCGGACCCCACCCATGCACGAATTCAGGCACCGGGCCTCTAATACATATTATATTATACACACACACACACACACTCACACACACACACACACACACACTCACACACACACGCTCTGAGTGGCCAGATTATTATGAGTTCAGAGGCCATCATAACCTGGCCAGTCCATGTATATATTTTTTAAAAAGCACCAGACCTTCTTCAGGGGAGTGAAGTCACATCCCACAGGTGTGTACCCTGCAGGCTGCCAACACAGAGGGCCCTGGGCCCGGCTGTCCCCCTCCCCTCTTCTCCCTCCCCCTCCCCCTCCCCCTGGGGCTGTGGCTCCAGCTCAGCAGGGCCACTGGACGGAGGACCAGCCCCGGGGCCCGGGCCCACCTGGACAAAGACATCCTGGTGCTTGGAGAGGATGGGCCCGGTGAACAGGTGCTTGATGATGCTGAGGTCCAGGATCTGGTCGCCGATGGCCACGCCGATCCGCGATCTTGGCTGGGAGGAAGGCGGCTCGGTCAGCGCAGGGCAAAGCCTCAGCCGAGCTGGGCTCAGCGGCCCTGAACGTCTGTCTGCTTAAGAACCCGAGGTCCCGCCCTGGCTCAGTGGATAGAGCGCCGGCCTGAGGACTGAAGGGTCCCGGGTTCGATTCCCGCCAAGGGCCCATGCCCGGGGTGTGGGCTCGATCCTCATTAGGGGGCCTGCAGGAGGCAGCTGATCCATGATTCTCTCTCGTCATTGGTGTTTCTCTCTCTCTCATCCTCTCTAAAATAAATAAAAACATATATATATAAAACAGTGTTCTAGCCGAAACCGGTTTGGCTCAGTGGTAGAGCGTCGGTCTGCAGACTGAAGGGTCCCAGGTTCGATTCCAGCCAAGGGCATGTACTTTGGTTGTGGGCATATCCCCGGTAGGGGGTGTGCAAGAGGCAGCTGATTGATATTTCTCTCTCATCGACGTTTCAAGCTCTCTATCTCTCTCCCTTCCTCTCTGTAAAAAAAAATCAATAAAATATATATATATATATATATATATATATATATATATATTTTAAAAAGTGCTGAGACCTCCTGTAGGGTCCTTAGCACTGAACCCTAGCTCCCTGTGCCCTCCAAGGGGATGACATGGCTGCAGTGACAGCTTTTGGTGAGGCCCAAAGGGGCCTGGAATCTTCTGGAAGGCCAGAGGTTAAGCCCCTACCCCAGCACTGTTCAGGGGGTGGTGGGAAGGGGCGATCTCCCCCAAAAGCCCCTCATGGCTGACCCTGCACATTCCCTCAGGACTCGGGGGGGGGGTAGTGGACTGGGGGGAACCTCGGCCAGTGGCTGGATTGGCTGGAGGTCATCCCGGGCACCAAGCGTGCCACCCTCAGAGGCTGGCATGGGCCAGATGAACCAGGTTTGCGTGTATGTGGCCACAAAAAAGCTAAAGCTTTCCTTTTCATGGAAACGGAGGTTTGTTCCGATGGAGACGTGCTAACTAACAAGCACTGAGATACACAAGTCATCGTTCACATAAAATAATAGAGCATTTTATTTAATTTATTATTTTAAAAAATATATTTATTTATTTATTATTTTTAAATATATATATTTTTATTTATTATTTTTTTTAAAATATATTTCTTTTTAAATATATTTTATTGATTTTTTTACAGAGAGGAAGAGACAAGGATAGAGAGTTAAAATATCGATGAGAGAGAATCATCCACCAGCTGCCTTTTGCACTCCCCCTTATGGGAATGTGCCCGCAACCAAGGCGCATGCCCTTGACCTCAATTGAACCCGGGACCCTTCAGTCCGCAGGCTAAGGCTCTATCCACTGAGCCAAACCGGTTTCGGCAAAAATATATATATTTCTTTATTGATTACAGAGAGGGAGGAAGAGGGAGAGAGATAGAAATATCAATGATGAGAGAGAACCATGGATCGGTTGCCTCCTGCACGCCCCCTACTGGAGATGGAGCCTGCAACCCGGGCAAGTGCCCTTGGCCAGAATCGAACCCAGGACCTTTCAGTCCGCAGGCCGACGCTCTATCCACTGAGCTACACCAGCTATGGCTGTTAATGGTCCCAGTTTCTAACTATCCCTCTCCCTTTCTCTCTGTAAAAAAAAAAAAAAATAAAAAAAAAAAAAATATATATATATATATATATATATATATATATATATTTCAGTAAAACATATTAAAAAAAACAACAACAACAAAATAAAAAATAAAAACACAATCCAGCCAGCGTGGCTCAGTGGTTGAGCTTCAACCTAGGAACATTCCCTGTCAGGGCACAGGCCCGGGTGGACAGCTCCATCCCCAGTGCAGGGCGTGCAGGAGGCAGCCGATCCGTGATTCTCTCACCTCATGGATGTTTCTCTCTCTCTCCCTCTTCCTTCCTCCCTGAAATCAATACAAACATATTAAAAAAAAAAACAAAAACAAACAAACAAAAAACACAGCCGAAATTGGTGTGGCTCAGTGGATAGAGCGTCGGCCTGCGGACTGAAGGGTCCCGGGTTCGATTCCAGTCAAGGGCATGGACCTTGGTTGCGGACACATCCCCAGTAGGGGGCGTGCAGGAGGCAGCTGGTCGATGATTCTCTCTCATCGATGTTTCTAGCTCTCTGTCCCTCTCTCTTCTCTGTAAAAAAACACAATAAAATATATATATTTTTTAAAAAACACACAGCAGAGGGAGCGGGATCTGAAGGCCAGTGGCCACCTCCCAGGGCTGTTCACTTCATAAAAAGCCCGTGGAGCACCCCACCCGCCTCTGGCCACAACGTTCCCACCTCATCTCGGACAGGTTCCCCGAGGACAAATACCAGCAGCCACCCAGCCGTGGGGGTGCTCACCGGGGTTAAGGTCTAAGTTGCCACCCCACTTTGTACCTGCAACCTCTGGCCAGGCCACAGGAGGCCACTGGCTGCAGGCACCCCCCTTGGGGCCAAAGGTCACCATGGGGGGCAGGGGCCATTGGCTCACCCCTCCTGCGCACCCAGGGGTGCAGGCCGGGTCTGGGGTCCTGCGGTTTACCTTTAAAGCTGGGAGCAGCCGAAACCGGTGTGGCTCAGTGGATAGAGCATCGGCCTGAGGACTGAAAGGTCCCAGGTTCGATTCCGGCCAAGGGCATGGACCTTGGTTGCGGGCACATCCCCAGTGGGGGCTGTGCAGGAGGCAGCTGATGGATGTTTCTCTCCCATCGATGTTTGTAATTCTCTGTCCCTCTCCCTTTCTCTCTGTAAAAAATCAATAAAATCTATTTTTTAAAAAATAGAAAAGTAAATAAAGCTGGGAGCAGACATCTAGGCACCATGACCACCAAGAGCCCCCAAAGGAATGGGCTCCCCCCCATTCCCCTCCCGGGGGCCGGTTCACCCCCGTTTGCTGAGGAGCCCGTCCTCACGGGCTGACGTCTCCCTAAGTCAGGCCACACCGGCCGCTTCCAACCGGCGTGCAAGAATGTCGCAAGAATGTCCAACCGGCGTGTCGCAAGGGTGGAAGGTCGCTGGGCTGGCCACACGAAGGGAAAGTGGGGTTCAGGTCCCCAAAGGGCGCCGGAGGGACCCCAGCCCCGCGGCCTGTGAGCCCCGGACGACACACGGGGCGGCCGCGATCCGATCCGGGCACCCGGGTCCCGCCGGCCAGGGAGCGCGACGGCCGAGGGGAGGGGCGGCCCCGCCGGCCGCGGGGGGCCAGGGGGACCCCCATTTGCGCTTCGCTCTCACCCACAAACTTGCGGGGGCGCAGGGAGCCCGCGCACGCACCCGACCCGCTCCTCGGGTGCACAGTGGCCCGGCCCCCTGCGCCCCTGGGGCTCCCCCGCGTCCCCCGGGGCTCCTCTGGGCTCCCCGGGGCGTGCGGGCGGCGCGGGGAGGCCCGAGCGGAAGGGCAGGGGTCCCGGGTGAGGGTCCGAGGTGAGGGGTCCGAGGTGAGGGGTCGCCCGCCCGCGCCCTCGGCTCACGTTGGCTGTGGTGGAGAAGACGCCGTAGGGCAGGTTTTGGATGGGGAAGTCCGAGTCCGGGGCCACCGACACGAACGACATGCTGACCAGAGGGGAGCCGCGAGCGGGACTCCCGTCTGGGCCCGGCGGTCGGTCACCCCGGAGCGCAGCTCTCCTGCGGTTCCGCCTCCCCGACTAAAGCCCCGCCCCTCTGACCACGCCCCCGCACTCCCGCTCCGTCTGAGCGCGCCCCGGCAAGCACCGCCCATTGGCCACGCCCCTGAAGTCCCGCCCCTATGACCACGCCTCCCGGAAAAGCTGACCACGCCTCTCTTCCGCCCCTTCTCCCCCACCTCCGCTTCCACCAGCCCCGCCCCGAAGGCCACGCGTCTCATAGGTCCGTCTCCTCTGACCACGCCCCCCGGAAGCCCTGTCCAATTTGCTCCGCCTCCCGGTTCTCCCGCCCATTCAAAGCACGCCATCAGGAAAGCCCCGCCCATTGACCACACCTTCCGGCTGCCCCTTCTTCCCTCCCCCCTCCACCACGCCTCCACCAGGCCCGTCCCGAAAGCCACGCCTCTCGCAACTCCATCTCCGCTGACCACGCCTCCAGGAAGTCCTGTCCAATTTGCCCCGCCCCCCGGTACTCCCACCCATTCAAAGCACGCCTTCCCAAAAAGCCCCGCCCCCTAACCACGCCTCCAATAAAGCCCCGCCCCGTTGACCACGCTTTCCTCCCGCAGGCTATTGATTGTTCTGTCTGCACAGGCCCTGACCCTCCCCTTAAGGGCAGCTATGCTTCGTTCTGGGAGCAGCTTGGTCAACACCCAGCAAAACACCGGGTACAGACAGGGGCTCCATGAATGCTTCAGGGATTGATACAAAACTATTGATGAGGAGCAACTGATCCCTAGCTGATGAGGCCCACTCTGTGCGGGGCTCAGGGACCCAGCAGCACAGCAGCGTGGGGGGTGGGGGCGTATTCACTGAGCCCGTGCGCCATGGGGGGCCAGGGGCTCCCGCTGAACATGAAATAAATAGGATGAATTCAAATTCTAAGCAAGGTTACAGGCAGAACTTCCTTTTTTTTATTAAAGAGTGCACTTAGTGGTTATCTCGATGCTGGACTTGAAAAACAATGCTGTTCTATCCAATTAAAAAAAAATGCACCTGGCATGGTATTGAGATTGTGGGCGTATCTGGTCTCTGGCCCCCAAGGTCAGACAAGTTTATCTTCATCATTTTTCAAACAGGCTAAAGCAAACTAGAAAGCAACATTTTATCTAGGAAGAACAGCAGAAAATTCCAAACAACAGTTTGTTGCAGAATGGGGGTTTTCCTTCTCAGAACCTTTAAAAATAACCACCTGCCCCTAAAGCCTCGCAGTCGCAGTCATGTAGGGTACACCTGCTTGTGGTACTCTTGCAGCTGCCCTGGCCAGATATTCCAATAAATTCTTGTTTGCTTTTTAAAAAATAATTATCAGCCTCTGGTGGTCTTATTTTGAACCGAGGGTTCGACCCCAGAACAAACACACACAGGTTAATGGGACCAAAAGCTTTGGGGAGAAGCGGGTGTGTGTGTGTGTGTGTGTGGGTGAGGGGTGTGGCCATAAGTTGATTGAAGGGGAAGATTTCATCGTTTTAAAATAGATTTGCCAAACCCTCTAATTACAGTGTCTGAAAATGCCCAAACTGTTCCATTTGGAAGTAAAAACCATTGGAAGTCACTTGCAAATACACTCTATTTCCTTTTCTCCTTTCTGGGGTGGAGATTTGTTGAACATGCCCATTACAATGACAAAAAATAAAGATTGCCTATCATCCCACTAACCTCCATTCTTCACATTTTCCCATTACTTCATTCCCTTTGTATTTTTTAAAAGTATATTTTTTTATTGCCGAAACAGGTATGGCTCAATGGATAGAGCGTCAGCCTGCAGACTGAGGGGTCCCGGGTTCGAGTCCAGTCAAGGGCATGTACCTTGGTTGCAGACACATCCCCACTGGGGGGTGTGCAGGAGGCAGCTGATCGATGTTTCTCTCTCATCGATGTTTCTAACTTTCTATCCCTCTAACTTTCTCTGGTAAAAAAAAAAAAAAATCAATAAAAAATATTTTTAAAAAGTATTAAAAATATGTATTTTTATTGATTTCAGAGGGAGAAACATCAAGGATGAGAATCACTGATCAGCTGCTTCCTGCACAACCCCTAATGGGGATTGAGCCTGCAACTTGGGCAAGTGCCCTGAACCAGCATTGAACCTGGGACCTCTCAGTCCACAGGCTGACGCTCTAGCCACTGATCTGCACTGGCTCGGGCTGTTCATTCCCTTCGCATGCACAGCATTTTCCGTCTTTGTGAATTTCACAGAGGTCCATTTCCAGTCTGGCCCTACATTTTTCTCCTGGATGCTTTTCTCCGGGGCCAATAGGCTTCATTCTCACTGGCTGGAGAGGTTGCGATGCTTTGGTGACAACCACAGAGCAGTGGATGGAGATCTTTTCAGTGACTTACTTTTGACAGGACCTGTCATGCAATTTTGAATGCAAGCCGTGAGAGTGGGCAGCCCTTGGTTTCTCACTCTTTTTTTTAATATTTTATTGATTTCATAGAGGGAGAGGGAAACATCGATGATGAGAATCACTAACCAGCTGCCTCTTGCACATTCTTACTAGGGATAGGCCTGCAAGCCGGTGACATGCCCAGACCAGGAATCAAACCTGGGATCCTTGGGACCATAGGCTGATTGATGCTCTAGGCACTGAACCACACTAGCTAGGGTTTGCTTTCTGACTTTGAAAGGGAATGAGTTGCCTCTTTGTAGAAGGTGCCTGCTTTCTGTGGGACTGGTTTTATCCAGAAACTACTAGCATAAGGAAATCCTTTCCTAGTGCTAATTGGCCGTGAGTTTTTAAACATCACGAATGATTGCTAAATTCTATTTAATACTGGATCTGAATCTGTTGAGACCCTTCTAACAGATTCTCTCCTATTTTCATCTGTTCACGTGATAAATCACGCTTCATGCTAAGCCGCCATCACATACAAAGGACGTGCGCGTAGTGCGCGAACAGGTTAACCTACCGCTCTGGACTGTGACGTACTGCTGTCTCACATAGTATTTTATTTCATGGTTTATAAAGGCTTCTGCCTGGGAAAAGCTCGGAAACCACAGGACAAATGGCCTTTTGAGCGTCTTTCTCACTCAGCAGCTCTCCCACTGCTTGGTCTGAATTATGTGCGGTTTCTTTTCCTTTTTTTCAGAGTTAATTCTCTTTATAGACTGCGGTTGTGGGCACAGGGCCTGTGGGCCGCTGGAGCCACCACTCAGACAGAGATGGGCGATCTACAGGCCGCCACCCACTGAGGGCTGCACTGGGGCGGCTCCCGCCAATGCTCAGCCAGGACTCCAAAGTAAATCCGAGCTGGCCAGGCAGGCAGGGTGGGCATGGTGCGGCTGGCAGAGGCTGTACACGTGGCCAGGGCTGCCCACCCCCTGGTGGTCTGTCACTGGACACAGTGCAGGGGGTAGGGCTGGGCTCCGGTGTCTATGATTGGCAACTCTGGATCTGGCCCACCCAGAGCTGGGCCAGTGGCGCATGCTAGGCACAGAAACTGTAAACATGGCGAGTTGTCTTTACCTCGAAGGCCGTCTTGTCCACGGTTTGGAGGCCCCGCACGGTGGGACTGACAGACACCACAGCCTCCACCTCCGCCAGGGGACGACCCCCTTGCACCTGCACTCACACTGTGATCTCGCGTTTTTCAGTGGATACAGTGTCGGCCTATGGCCCGAAGGGTCCCAGGTTTGATTCCTGGTCAGGGCATGTGCCCGGGTGGCGGGCCAATCCCCAGTAGGGAGTGTGCAGGAGGCAGCTGATCGATGATTCTCACCATTGATGTTTCTCTCTCTCTCCCTTCCTCTCTGAAATCAATAAAAATATAAAAAACGAGAGAGAGAAACCAGAAATCTCCGTTTTTCTGATCGGGGGGGGAGGGCAGAGCACACACAGCAGGCAGCTATGTGTGCTAGCACGTTTGACGGCAAAGTGACAGCCGTTCTCAGTTTTAAAGAAACGTTGACAGCCAAAACCGGTTTAGCTCAGTGGATAGAGCATGGGTCTGCAGACTGAAAGGTCCCAGGTTTGATTCCGGTCAAGGGCATGTACCTTGGTTGTGGGCACATCCCCGGTGGGGGGTGTGCAGGAGGCAGCTGGTCGATGTTTCTTTCATTGATGTTTCTAGCTCTCTATTCCTCTCCATTCCTCTCTGTGGAAAATCAATATATATATATATATATATTTTTTTTTTTTTTTAAATGCTGACATCTGGACCTTCCAGGAATGTGAGATCCCTGTGGAACAGGACGGTGAGTCGCAGGCAGATGCGAGCTGAGCAGCGGGAGGCTCTCACAGAATATTCGTGAAGGAGAATGTGCAGGAGGAGGAGCCTGACGAGCCGCCGGGAGAGCGACTGAGAAGAGGAAAAAAAAGGCAAGCACGCGGGGCAGGTGGTGGTTTTGCTTTTTATTTAATCAAAGGCTGGTGGGTAAACATAAATACAGCACAGTTCCATCAGATCATTCTTCATATTGTGTACACACAGACCGAGGAACGCAATCTGAAAGAAATCCACAGTCAGCAATGAAATGCGCACAGCGTCTCCTTCCCTCGCTCAAAAAAAAAAAAAAAAAAAAAAATTAGAACATATGAACTCTAGTATCTCAACAGCACACTCTCTCCTGTGACAAATGATTCAGACATAAATAGTGGGTGCAAAGAAACTCTATGCTAACATATGTATAACCTTTGTTAATGAGAAGAAGGAAAAAAAAAACAAAACAAAAAAAACAACCAAACGGAAGCAGCCATAATGATTAAGGTACATTCAGTTACCGATAACTAGCTTTGCCTCGGGAGGGCATTATGTCAAAAGAGAAATCGTGCTACAGAGAAAAAGCTCTATATACATACACAATGAGAAAATAAACCGCAGGGTTAACGCATGCATGTTTAATACTGGGGGGCGGGGGGGGGGAGGGGAGAGAATCACAGTCCTTAAGGTTTTCTCCGCGTTGCTTACGACAGCCCTCTGCGCTCAGCTAAAACAAAAATGATCTTAGAAAGGATAATACTTGGAAAGGTTTACTTAAGTCTTCTCAGCCCACAGAAACTGCAAATGGAAATAAACGTTCAGAGTCATTTTCAAAACAAAAAAAACAAAAATCTATTCTTCGGGTGACATGCATGATTCAAAAGGGTCTATGCAAGAGACACTGCTCTACCTTCCCCGGGGAGTTGGGGGGGGGGCGGGGGGGAGGGGGCGAGGAAAAAACACCTCGAGTCAAGGTTTGGTTTGCAAGATGGTCAAAGGAGTTTGTATTCCAGCAGGAGTTCAAATCTTCTGGATCTTTTCGCCGACCACAACGGGGTTCTCTTTTCGGATTTTCTCAGCCGCGTCGGCCTTGTAATTGTAAGAGCAATTGTGTACATCGGAGTAACGGTGTACACCGCAGTAAACATTCCCACACCGGCATTCAAACCCTGGAGGGGGCAACACACACGCCTGAGTCGGGAGCACATCTCGTGTTCAGCACAACACGTATGCATGCGACAGCGAGGGCGTCCTTCGACGTCAGCGCTTTCACAGCCTGAGAACGTTCTAGAAGTTCGCTAGCGGGCCGCTGCAGGCTGAGACCCGCTCTGTACTCCAGCTCCCTCACCTGCGACAGGGCCCCAGCTACCTCCTTGCCAAAGCAGGTTGCTGAGGGGAAATGTGAAACATTTCTCGTATGCAAACGCTGGCATGTGAAAAGAGGCACAGCGAGGAAAGCTTAAATGTTAACCAAGACTCTGACACCGGTTAACGAGTAACAGCGTCTGCACCAGCTGTCCTTGGCTAACCCCCCTACCCTCCCGCGGAAGGGGAGCTGAACTTTGGCTCCATGGGAGGTAGTTAGGGTGCCCGTGCGTGAATCCACTAACGCAGGCCAATGACTGGGCCGCTCTGAGCTCCCACTGCTTCTGCAATCTATATATATAAAAGCCTAAGTGACCGTTATGACTGGTCAATCTAATGACCGGTCAACCAGTCGCTATGACATGCACTGACCACCAGGGAGCAGACGCTCAATGCAGGCGCTGCCCCCTGGTGGTCAGTGCGCTCCCACAGTGAACCTCCCAGGGTCCCTCTACCTGGCTGGCCGGCCCCAATCGGGACTGGGCAAGACGGCACCCATCGGCCCCGACTGCCAGCCAGACCGAGCTGTGTTACTTGACACATGGTAAGCATGTGACCAACGCTCCTTCGTGTAGAAAAATGGCCAGCATTGAAGCCGAGGGAGAGATGGGGGGATGGGTTGTAGATAAAACTGGCCCTGCTCCCCCAATGAGGGCTGATGGTGGGAGGGGACTGCTGGGAGTGCAACACGGGAGGTTAACCACTGACCTTTACTACAGTTCCTGACCTTGAAAACCATAGTCTGCATTCATGAATGCAAAGGAAGCCAGCAGTGACCCAGCGGGCAGACTGGGCCGGGGGAGGCTCCGGAAGTTTCTGAGAGTGAGAAGGCCTCTATGTGATCCTGAATAATGTGTATTTCCGGGCGTCCTATCTGCGCATGCTCGGATGGGCCAGTCCGAAACTTCTCGGATCTGAGACTAAAACTGCCTTCCTCTTTCCCTCCCGCCTGTTCCTGGCAAACCGTTAGCTCAGAATCTGAGCTCCTCTCCTCTCAGCTCGGACTGAAGCCAGCCCAACGCCGGGCACGTGGCGGACAGCAAATGGTCCCTCTTGTAGCTGCAACCGCTCCCCAAAAGCACCAGGCCACATCGCTGGCTCACGCTGCTCTGCCTGCCCCGCACGTGCCTGCCCACGCACCTTCCCGCTCCTGGTCCCTGCCCCGCCCTTCCCTTCTCGAGTTTTCATTCCAGCGATCCTTTCTGGCTGTCTCCATAAGGAAGTCCTGCTCATCTCTCAAGTTCCAGCTCCATCACCTGCCTCCACCACTTTCCTTCCCAGCCTCTCCTCCTCCTCCTCCTCTCTCTCTTTTTTAAAAAATACATTTTTAGCCAAAACAGGTTTGGCTCAGTGGATAGAGCGTCAGCTTGTGGACTGAAAGGTACCGGGTTCGATTCCGGTCAAGGGCATGTACTTGGGTTGCGGGCACATCCCCAGTAGGAGGCGTGCAAGAGGCAGCTGGTCTGTGTTTCTCTCTCATCGATGTTTCTAGCTCTCTAGCCCTCTCTCTTCCTCTCCGTAAAAAATCAATAAAATAATTTTTTAAAAATACATTTTTATTGGTTTCAGAGAGGAAGGGAGAGGAAGAGAGAGAGAGAAACTTAATGAGAATCATAGATTGGCTGCACGCCCCACACTGGACGGAATCAAACCTGCGACTCTTCAGTCCACAGGCCGACGCTCTATCCACTGTGCCACCCCGGCCAGCGTTCCTCTTCTGTTACATAACACATCAATCACTCCCGTCCCTGGACTCCCAAACCAATCCCCGTGATTGCACTTCGTACGCTTTCTTGGCTAAATACCCACTTTTTCTCCCTCTCCTAACAGCACTGCCCTCTGACCGCCCTGCTGTAGCAGTCAGAATGGACCCATCACTTACTGCGTGACGGCCGGGGCGCCTCGCCTTACGTGTGCACACGTGTGAACTCAAGGGACCCTCACGGCAAGCTGGGATTAGCCCTTCATGCACAGTCCTGTCCGGCTCGCCCGGACGGGCACAGCCTCTCCACTGCCGGCCCCTCCAGGCAAGGCCTCGCGTGGCCCCTCACAGCGCCTGCCACACTGACCTGACTTGTCTAACCCCCTCCACCTCAGCTGAAGAGGGCGCTAACCACTGCACTTTCCGGCCGGAAGTAGATCTGCATTTATTTCCTCACTCCACACGCAGCCTACGCCGGAAGCGCTGGCCGGGCTCTTACCAGTAAGTCCCACTTTCTTCCGGCACATGAAGCAGCGGTTCTTTTTCTGTTTTGGCTTTTCGAGAGATTTGTCCTGCTCTTCGGTCGGCTGCTGGGCCGGATCTGATACTGAAGCTGGCAGAAACAGGAGCGCGGGGAGATGCGTTAGTCAGGAGGGGGGCCGGGGGGTCCCTGGCCCGGCCCCGGCCCACCCGTCTGGCCTGTGATCCAGAGGATGAAGGAGGAATTGGTGACATCAAGATACAAAGCAGTTTATAGAAGCCCATGTTACATGCATGCGGGTGCATGTGTAATGTATGTGCACACATGTTCACAGTGACTACAGGAAGTGTTGCGATTTCTATTTTTGTGTGTGATAATTATGTATTTGACCAATATAAGGTATAACCACAACACACACACACTCGCACTCTACTGATTAAGAAAATAGCCCTGCTGAAACCGGTGTGGCTCAGTGGATAGAGTGTCGGCCTGCGGACTGAAAAGGTCCCGGGTTCAATTCCGGTCAAGGGCAAGGACCTTGGGTGCGGGCACATCCCCAGATGGTGGTGTGCAAGAGGCAGCTGACTGATTCTCTCTCATCGATGTTTCTAGCTCTCTATTCCTCTCTCTTCCTCTCTGTAAAAAAATCAATAAAATATATTTTAAAAAAAAGAAAGAAAGAGCCGGGACCGGTTTGGCTCAATGGATAGAGCGTCGGCTTGGGGACTGAAGGGTCCCGGGTTCGATTCCGGTCAAGGGCATGTACCTTGGTTGTGGGCATATCCCCAGTAGGGGATGTGCAAGAGGCAGCTGATCGATGTCTCTCTCTCATCGATGTTTCTATCTCTCTATCTCTCTCCCTTCCTCTCTGTATAAAATCAATAAAATATATTAAAAAAAAAGAAAGAAAGAAAGAAAGAAAGAAAGAAAGAAAGAAAGAAAGAAAGAAAGAAAATGGCCCTATGCCAGGGGTCGGCAAACTCATTAGACAACAGAGCCACATATCAACAGTGTAACGATTGAAATTTCTTTTGAGAGCCACATTTTTTTAAACTTAAACTTCTTCTCATGCCACTTCTTTAACACAGAAGTGGTACTTTGTGAAAGAGCCACACTCAAGGGGCCAAAGAGCCGCCTGTAGCTGGCGAGCCGCAGTTTGCTGACCACGGCCCTATGCGAACTTGTAAACATGGCTGGGTCAGACTACGTACGTTCCTAGGGGCGGGGGAAGGGAGAGTCCGAAGCCAAGACTCAGTGGAATAAAAAGGATGATCACAACTTCCGGAATGTCACAGAAACCTCTGCAATGCCCGGAACCAGTGAACTGCTAACTGCTAGGGTGAGGGTCACGGTGGGTGCATTTAAGAGTGACACGGGCGAGGCTGCACACCTCCTGGCACCCCCCCCAGAACCTGGTCCTCACGGCCCCTCCCCAATGGCACCCTCCCGCCCTGCACGCTTCTGCTCGCCATTTCTCCTCCTCTCCCGCACTGCCGTCCACGCACACAGCAGGCACCTCCCGCCCGGCCTTGCATTCAGCAGGCTTCACAGTTCGCCCCGTGGCAGCAGGACCAGCCTGCCATCCCTGTTCGTGGCTGAGTGACACCCTGTGCTCGCGTGTGCCCCTCACCTGCTGGCGGCACTGGGTCGCCCCACGTTTCGGTGATTGTGAGCAAGCTGCCGCCTCCCCACCCGCGTGCCCCCACCGCGCATCTGGGTTCCGGTCGCGTGCCGTTTGGCCCTGGCCTCTGGGCTCTACTTTTTCTAGATTGTTCTGGCTCTTCTCGCCCACGCTTTACAATCGGGATAAATCTGATTTTGAATCCACGCAGCTTCCCCAAATTAGATCAGAGGGACTGTTCCTCAGTCTGAACCACCGACTCAATGGTTCAGCGGCTCTGTATGGAGGCAGGAACCCTCGGAGCTGGAGAGACCCCGAGACCCCGCCTCGCTCGGCCACTCCGAGCCTGATGACGACCCCAAATGCTTCCGTGATGGGGCTCACGCCTCTGAACGGCCTTCCCTCCACTGGTGGGCAGCTGCGAGCTCAGTCCATCCCTCCCAAGGAGTTAGCTCTTTAATACCGACATTCCATCCCTTTCCACTCGCTCCCCCGGAAACCTGCCTCCCCATGCTGATGCTCTCCGCCCCCAGCCCAGGGCAAGCTCATGGCCCCTTGTCGTACCTCAGGGGATAACTACATTGTGGGAATTTTTCCATTTCCACTTGTAAAATACCCCTCATCTCTACCTTTCCTTAAACATCTTTATTCAATTAAAAAAAATAAAACTACACATGTAGCATTTGTGAATTTATAATGATACTAGAGGCCCAGTGCACGAAATTCATGCACTGGAGGGGGGGGTGTCCCTCAGCCTGGCCTGCGCCCTCTCACAGTCTGGGAGCCCTGCGATCGATCATCCCGCAGAGGAAGGTCCTGCCCGCCCGCCACAGCCCGCCAGTTGACGGCCTGGCCTCCCTCTGCAGGGCGATCACAGGGCAATGGCCGGGCTCCCGAACAATTGCATGGCAACCATGTTGGCTGGCCTGGCGCCAGTAGGTGTCATAGCGTGGGCGTCAGATGGCTGTCCCACTGTTCAGCCATTCGGTCCATTTGCATATTATGTTTTTATTATTATGGATGAGAGTCATGGTGCACAAAATCCGTGCACGGGAGCGTGGGTGGTCCCTTAGTCCAGCCTGCACCCTCTCTAATCCAGGCCCTTGGGGGATGACCTCTGTGGGATCGGGCTTAAACGGGCAGTCAGACATCCCTCTCACAATCTGGGACGGCTGGTCCCTAATCTGACGCCTGCCTGCCTGCGTAATCACCCCTAACTGCAACCCTCCCCCCCCCCCCCCCCCCCAGTTTGCTTGGAGAGGAAGCAGCGCTTTGACTAACCCGGCTGAAATAATCACAGATAATCATATAACGCCACCACGCACTCAGTTACACGTGTCTGTCAAATGAATCAGAATGTGAAGCTGCTAAGCCTGTGATGCTGACATAATCACACATACATGGGAAGGGGAAGTGGCTCCCAGCATCTCGGTCAGTTACGCACTCGAGAACAGAAAATACTCTGCTCAGAAGGAAAATAAACCGATATGCTGGTATATAAAAGGCTAATATGCAAAGCGTCCCCTCGGGAGTTCGATAGCTCACTGTGACATGAAGGCGGGGTGCTGAGGGAGTGAGGGAAGGAGGAGGCGAGGAGGTGGGGAAGGGGGAACCTGATTGGCCCTGATCGATGCCAGGCCTAGGGACTACTCGTGCACAAATTCCGTGCACCGAACCTCTAGTGTAAGAGTACGTGAGGCAACTATAAGCACAGAGGACAGTGCCCGACCCATCGCCACGTGACATAAATGACAACGGAGACGCCAGGTGGTATGCAAACCTTGCAGGTCTTCTGTCTCGGGCGCTGCTTTGTCCGCTGATGTACTATCCCCTTGGGAAGATGCTACAGATTCTGATAAAAGTGGCTGATTTGATACAGGACTAGAAAAGCAAACACATTTAGGTTTTAAAACGGCATCTCTGTGCGGGCACGGGAACGGAGGGGATACAAGAAGAGTTCAGCATATCTAATGGGATCATTAAGAGAAGGATGCACACGGAAATACCTCTGAGGACGGAATCACAGAGCTGTGAAACTGGAGGCTGCTGTGGACCCCCGTTTATGTTTTGGAAATAAGGCAACAGGTATGTTCTGTGTGTGGGAATTCACTGCATGGAAACTGGCGGGTAAAAACACCCCTGGGCAGCAAAGTTTAAACGAAACCCTGGAGCTGAACATCTCTGGTCACGAAGTGAGAAAAAAAAGGATGTGGTAGAGGTTACTTTTTGTTTCATAACAGTAGGATAAAAATAAAACAGCCAAAACCGGTGTGGCTCAATGGATAGAGTGTTGGTTTGTGGACTGAAAGGTCCCAGGTTCGATTCCGGGCAAGGTCATGTACCTTGGTTGCGGGCACATCCCCAGTGGGGGGCGTGCAGGAGGCAGCTGATCAATGATTCTCTCTCATCGATGTTTCTGACTCTCTATCCCTCTCTCTTCCTCTCTGTAAAAAATCAATAAAATATATCTTAAAAAAATAAAACAAAGATTCTGTATTTTCTGGCTTCTAAAGGAAGTGATGTCCAAGTTAAAAACAAAATACACTAGGAGTGCCACATCATGATATGAAACATAGAGGACCTGTGACCAGACTACTTTTTATACAAAATGCTATCACTTGCAGACTAAAGACTATGGTTGGTAGAACTTAGCATCCTTCGGAAAAACTTCAGGGTGGATCAGATATAGGAGGAGGAATAGGGAAAAGCTGTCTGAGCCGAAACCAGTGTGGCTCAGTGGATAGAGCATTGGCCTGCGGACTGAAAGGTCCCAGGTTTGATTCCGGTCAAGGGCATGTACATTGGTTGTGGGCACATCCCCGGTAGGGGATGTGCAAGAGGCAGCTGGTTGATGTCTCTCTCTCTCATCGACGTTTCTAGCTATCTCTCTCCCTTCCTCTCTGTAAGAAAATCAATAAAATATATTTTAAAAAAAAGAAAAGACCCGAGACGGGCTTGGCTCAATGGATAGAGCGTCGGCTTGGGGACTGAAGGGACCCGGGTTCGATTCCGGTCAAGGGCATGTGCCTTGGTTGCGGGCATATCCCCGGTAGGGGGTGTGTGCAGGAGGCAGCTGATCGATGACTCTCTCTCATCGATGTTTCTAGCTCTCTATCTCTCTCCCTTCCTCTCTGTACAAAATCAATAAAAATATATTAAAGAAAAGAAAAGCTGTCTGAATAGGAAATTTAAAAGACAGCCCCCCCAACTCCATCCTCACCGTGAAAACAAAAAGAAGCTACTTCTAACACATCAGGAATAACGATGAGACAGACAGAACGTCAGGCCAGTTAATCCTGATGTGACCTGCCGTGGCTTTCCTTCCCAGGCCTGATCGCACACGGAGCCCGCTCTTCGCTTCCTGGCTCCCCCGTCCCGCCCGCCCGGGGACCGCACCTACCTCGGCTGCAGAGACGAAGACGTGGAGTCTAGTGTGGACGGCGCTTCCGGGACACTGCCGTCTGTGCACTGAACTGGTAAAGAGTCAGACAGGCTGCTGACGGACGTGGCTGCAACGGGACCACATTTCGTGTTAGTGACTCGGGACCGTCCGCCACCTTATCTACAAAGACCGAGATCCGTTTTCCGCAAAGCACAGCGCGGGAACTTGCTTTTACCATAGGATCCCGTATTATGAAAAGTCTGTGGTCGTCACGCCGTAACGACCGGTCTCCAGGAGGCTGTGGGCACGGGCAGGCACGTGAGGGTGGGCGGGGACTTGACCAGGAGGTGCGCTGGGGGACTCCGGGAGTCCGCCATTTCGAGCCGCGGGTCACTAGGATGCTGGTTCATTGCTTTTATTTTTTTATTTTTTTTAAAATATATTTTATTGCTTTTTAACAGAGAGAAAGGGAGAGAGATAGAGAGCCAGAAACATCGATGAGAGAGAAACATCGGCTGGTTCATTGCTTTTAGTTGAAGTGTTTTCAATACTCTGGAATTCCAATGAAAATACCAGGGATGTTTAGCCACGAAGGAGACCACACACACTGCACATGTCAGCACACGCAGCTCCTGCTCTCCGGACGGATGTCAGCGGGCCTGTGCCTCCCAGACATGTCCCAGCCCCCGCGCAGCAGCGAGTGGTGGCAATGACATGACTTCTCAGCACATCCGGTCACATTATTTTCCCAGTCCCCCCTATCAGGCAGAAATGTAGGTGACAATTTCAGTTAAAAAACAGTCATTTAGCCGAAACTGGTTTGGCTCAATGGATAGAGCATCGGCCTGCGGAATGAAGGGTCCCGGGTTCGATTCCGGTCAAGGGCATGTACCTTGGTTGCGGGCACATTCCAGTAGGGGGTAAGCTGATCGATGATTCTCTCTCATGGATGTTTCTAACTCTCTATCCCTCTCTCTTCCTCTCTGTAAAAATTCAATAAAATATATTTAAAAAACAAACAAACAAACAAACAAGAAAAAGCAATCCTTTATACTGAGTGACCTAAGCCTTCAGAAAACTTGGAGAAGTTTGAACAAATGGCTCTAGTTGTTGGCTTGATCACAAAGCGCTGACGAGAAAGATTCCATAAAAACATTTAGCCCTGCCGAAACTGGTGTGGCTCAGTGAATAGAGCGTCGGCCTGTGGACTGAAGGGTCCCGGGTTCAATCCCAGTCAAGGGCATGGACCTTGTTTGTGGGCACATCCCCAGTGGGGGGTGCGCAGGAGGCAACTGATGGATGTTTCTCTCTCATCGATGTTTCTCTCTCCCTCTCCCTTCCTCTCTGTAAGAAATCAATAAAATATATTTAAAAAACAACAACACATTGAAATGAACTAAGGATCAGCCAGCATGTTCATCAAGCACAGAAACTAGATACACAGGATTAACCTGCACGAGGCCTGCCGTGGGGGAGCACTAGGAACGCCTGATTTTTGCAAAGCTGACCCTCGGATCCCCCATAGCCCCCGACCCCCTTCCACAGCTGCTGACCCGGAAGCCCGCCTCACTCCCAGGAGGTTCCTCTGACGTGGGAAGGCACAGGGAACTTCCCGGCCACGGGGGGAGGTCCCCTCAGGCCAGCTGTGGCTACCCACCACCTCTCTTTCCGACTCCAACGGTCTTTCCTTCAGGAACCAGCCAAGATCCAAGAGCCAGGGCCCTCGGGCAGCCCCACTCCCGTACCTTACGCCCCCAGACAGCGGGCACACGGGAAGCGAGCCCTCTGCTAACAGGACAATGGGGCCCGCAGCAGAGTGAGGGTCCTTTGCAGCGGGCCACGCTCAGGCCGTTTCCGGACCACGGTGGCCACGCTGTGCGGGGAGACGTGTCCCGCAGCAAAGCGAGCCGGACAGAGCGCTTTGGGGAAAGGGGCCGGTGCGCGGTGCCACCCCTGCGGGCCTCGCCGCCGCTCAGCCCCGCTGTGTGCGCGGCCGCCTACCGGGTGGGCTGATCCGGTCGTTGCTACTGTTCTGCCGCTGGAGATGCTCTTTGTAGCACACGGAGCACATGCCGTTGGTGCGGGGGTTCCCGTAGAAGCCGCAGCCGGTGGAGCACAGCATGGGCACTTGGCTGTGGTTCGTTTCCTGCGCCATGTTCCTCTGCTGCACACCTGGAAGGCACGGACGGTGAGCCGGGCGCGCACATGCTGCCAGCCCGCCCCGCCCGCATGCGCTTCCGGTGATCAAGGAGCCAGCCCCGCCCCGCCCTGCCAAGCCCCTCGACGCAGGGGGAGAAAGCATCGATGTTAAACGGACACACGGAACTGGCATCTCTAACCCGCTCCACCCAGCAGGTCCGGGCCAGCTGAGGGCGGAAGGATCCCAGAGACAGGCGCCCAAGCAGATCCCACACCGTCAGAGCTAAGGGAAAGCTTTAAGTCTCGTTCGGTTTGGACTCCTGGTAATAAGAAATATACATTATAGCCGAAACCGGTGTGGCTCAGTGGATAGAGCGTCGGCCTGCGGACTGAAAGGTCCCGGGTTCGATTCCGGTCAAGGGCATGTGCCTTGGTTGTGGGCACATCCCCAGTGGGGGGTGTGCAGGAGGCAGCTGATGGATGTTTCTCTCTCATCAATGTTTCTAGCTCTCTGTCCCTCTCTCTTCCTCTCTGTAAAAAATCAATAAAATATATTTTTAAAAATACACATTATAAATGTTGCTCTGTTACTGTTAATTTCTAAACGTTTCAACTGTGGTCCAAGGCCACTTTATTTTTTAAATATATTTTACTGACTTTTTTACAGAGAGGAAGGGAGAGGGAGAGTGAGTTAGAAACATCGATGGGAGAGGAACATCCATCAGCTGCCTCCTGCACACCCCCTACTGGGGATGTGCCCGCAACCAACGTCCATGTCCTTGACCGGAATCGAACCTGGGACCCTTGAGTCACCAGGCCGATGCTCTATCCACTGAGCCACACCGGTTAGGGCTGATCATATATCTCTTGTTAGTAGCTTGTATGACAGGCTGGGCAGCATGCACGGAGCACGCACAGAGACAGGGCGGGAGTGACGAAAGAGCGTTGGGCACCTGTCCTAACTGCACGCTGACCCGCCTCCTTCTTCTGGAACGTGCTTTTTATTTCAACAAACACGGCGGACATCTCCTCAGAGCGAATAAAGAGAGCCTGGCGCTTGAAGAAAAGCAGCTGAGAGCCTTTATGCAAGGATGACATCTGAGTGAGTGAAAACCATCGTGACCAGCGCCTCCAATGGTTAGAGCTTCGCTAAGCTCAGGGGGAACCTTGATGAGACGTGAGAGGCTGGTGCCACATCAGCATTTGCAAGATCAGCGTCAGTCAGCAAACCCATATTTTCCAAGTGACCGCCGCGTAATGGCACCAAATTAAAGCGAAAGACAGCCCCATGAATGTGAAAGCCACAGGACCAGTGTTTACGGTGCCTGAGATTCTACACTGCACGGACCCCTTTAAGAAACCACACGCCGCCGAAGCCGGTGTGGCTCAGTGGATAGAGCGTCGGTCTGTGAACTGACAGGTCCCAGGTTCGATTCCCGTCAAGGGCATGGACCTTGGTTGTGGGCACATCCTCAGTGGGGGGTGTGCAGGAGGCAGCTGGTCGATGTTTCTCTCTCATTGACGTTTCTAACTCTCTATCCCTCTCCCTTCCTCTCTGTAAAAAATCAATAAAATATTCTTAAAAAAAGAAACCACACGTTGTTTTCATGGTGTCGGACAAGGTTACTGAGACACTCCTTCCTCTCCCGCTGCACACAGTGTGACCTGCACACAGTGTGACGTGGCATTTCTCTGTAGCATCGTAACGGACGGGCAGAAAGGCACTCCTTATTCTGTATGTATAAAGCACAGACATATACATACATATGCGTGTGTGTGTGTGTGTATGTCTGTGTGTGTGTGTGTGTGTGTTTGTGTGTGTGTGTGTATGTACTGAGGGGCCAGATGACGATGATCTCTGAACGCATATCGTCTGGCCACTCTGTGTATTTGTATCTCAAATGGGCCCAAAGGGTATTCGAGACTTTGGCGGGAGATCAGTCCCCAGTCTGCCCTGAGCTTTCTTTCTTTTTTTTTTTTTTTTAAATATATTTTATTGATATTTTACAGAGAGGAAGAGAGAGGGATAGAGTTAGAAACATCGATGAGAGAGAATCATCGATCAGCTGCCTCTTGCACACCCCCTACCGGGGATGTGCCCGCAACCAAGGTACATGCCCTTGACCGGAATCGAACCCGGGACCTTTCAGTCCGCAGGCCAACGCTTTATCCACTGAGCCAAACCAGTCTCGGCTGCCCTGAGCTTTCTATCAGTCACTGCAAAGGGGAACACTGATCAGGTGCTCGATGTATAGTGTCTTTGATATCTAATCGATGAGGCACTCAAGAGAAGCACACTGAGCAGCCAGATGATTATGCGTTCAAAGATCATCACTATCTGGTCACTGGGTGTGTGTGTGTGTGTGTGTGTGTGTGTGTGTATACATATGTAAAATACAGAAGTAGATACACAGCGTATGTGTAAAGTTAAAATTGTATAGCGTGGGAGTCCAATTAGGAACAAACTGCTTTTAAGGGCTCCTGGTTGTGCAATGAAGAAAAACAGATGGAGAAATACTGTTCTAACCCACCCATTCTACGCTGCCAGATCGTGATGTCAGAATGAAGATAAGGACGAAAGGAACTTTGCCCCCTGGCACTTTAGTACGGGGCTGGCAATCATATACACCCCCAAAAGATAAATATTCTCTTTCTACTGAAACCCAAGCAACAGCACAGATGAACAAGTACAATAGGACAACCAAGCCCTTATACACGGAGTGGCCAGATGATGGTGATCTCTGGACGCATAATCATCTGGCCACTCAGTGTCTATCCTATAGAATAAAAGGCTCATATGCAAATTGTCCCCTCGACATACCGCCCATATCCCCTCCCCCTGAACCCCACCCATGCACGAATTCATGCACTGGGCCTCTAACACACACACACACACACACACACACACACACACACACACAGAGTGGCTAGATTACTATGTCACAATACATGTTTCTTTTTTTTTTAATTTTTTTTTTCTTGTTTTTTCACTAGGGAGCATGTGTTTTTGTGTGTGTTTTTTAATATATATTTTATTGATTTTGTACAGAGAGGGAGGGATAGAGAGCTAGAAACATCGATGAAAGAGAATCATCGATCAGCTGCCTCTTGCACACCCCATACTGGGGATGTGCCCGCAACCAAGGTCCATGCCCCTGACCGGAATCGAACCCGGGACCCGTCAGTCCCCAAGCCGACGCTCTATCCACAGAGCCAAACCGGTTTCGGCACAACACACGCTTTTGAACAGTAAGATTACAACGCAAACCCAGTAACATGAGGCCTTTCCCGAAGCCAACCCGCCCTGCACAGGAGCAGGTTAACAATGATTCTCAAAGTCAAGGGCTTTCTCAGAAAAAACCATTCTCCTGGCAGATAAGCACAAAGGACTTCGCAGCTTCCCTAAGAGGAAGAAAAGGGAGGGAGAATCAGCCTTCTTGATTCATGTCCAGGCCTCACAGAGAAGGTGCGGAAGGAGACCAAACCCACCAGAGGGCATCCTGGCTTATGAGAATGGGCAGGTGCGACGTGGGGCCTCGGGGCCACCGTGCCTTTTCAGTAGCTAACACAGAGTGCGGGCCCGGGTCTGCACTGGCCCTGGGAGGGAAGGGGAGAATGAAAGGGTAACACAGTTCCTTAACTGCTGTTCTGGCGGATTTAGAGAGCTACAAATCCAGGGAGATCAAGAATGGCATCACTGAATATAAACCAACGAAACTGATTAGCACAGTATACTTTTTTATTTTTAAAAATATGTATTTTATTAATTTCTTACAGAGAGCAAGAGAGAGGGATAGTTAGAAACATCGATGAGAAACATTGACCAGCTGCGTCCTGCACACCCCCCATCGTGGATGTGCCCGCAACCAAGGTACATGCCCTTGACTGGAATTGAACCTGGGACCCCTCAGTCCACAGACCAATGCTCTATCCACTGAGCCAAACCGGTTTCGGCTACTTTTTTATTTTTTAAAAATATAGTTTTATAGAGGAAGGTGGAGGGAGAGAGTTAGAAAACACCAATGAGAAACATCCATCAGCTGCCTCCTGCACACCCCCTACTGGGGATGTGCCCGCAACCAAGGTACATGCCCTTGACCGGAATCGAACCCGGGACCCTTCAGTCCACAAGCTGACACTCTATCCACTGAGCGACACTGGTTAGGGCTAGTATACTTTTTTAAAAGTCTATGAATGGCAGAGAATTCAGAAAATGTGTTTTCTGTCTCTGAATAACATTTGTCATCAAAACCGCAATCTGAGCCGGGACCAGTTTGGCTCAATGGATAGAGCATCGGCTTGGGGACTGAAGGGTTCCCAGGTTTGATTCCGGTCAAGGGCATGTACCTTGGTTGCGGGCACATCCCCAGTAGGGGGTGTGCAAGAGGCAGCTGATCGATGACTCTCTCTCATCGATGTTTCTAACTCTCTATCTCTCTCCCTTCCTCTCTGTACAAAATCAATAAAATATATTAAAACAACAACAACAACAACAACAACAAAAAAAAAAACGCAATCTGAGAGGGTAGAAGCCCCCAGCCAGGACTGAAGAATGACTCAGAGCTTCCGATGGGCCCAGAACTGTTGAGCTTTATTTACATGATCTCACTTAATTCCTCCAGAATCCTATGGTGTCAATGCTACTGATAGTCATCCTCATTTTATTGGTTTCAGAGAGGAAAGGAGAGGGAGGGAGGAACACCCATGATGAGAGAGAATCATGGATCGGCTGCCTCCTGCACGCCCCCCATGGGGGACTGAGCCTGCACCCCAGGCCTGTGCCTTGACCGGGAATCGAACCTGGGACCCTTCAGTCCGCAGGCCGGCCATCCCCATTTCCAAAACTGAGACTTCACAACTTGCCCCAGGCCACATAGGAAGTAAGCAGCTAGGTTTTTATTTAAAAAATGAAGATAATGCCTTTCAGAGTCCATCCTCTAACTTTGTGAACATTCATCACGTCTTATTTTCTTAATTTAAAGATCATTTAAAAACCTCATTCGTTCGTCATTCAAT